GATGGATAGCAAGTTGTATATCGGACGTAGCGAGCGGATTGTTGAGAAGGTGTGTGCTGACCTCGAAAAGCACTTGGCCAAGTACAAGAACTACATCGAGAACACCAAGACTAGTGAATTGCATGTCTGAGGTACATGGGCATGGATGGCATTTGAAACATGATGTCAAGAGAAATGTGTGAAACGGGTCAAATTCGGAAGGCGAGAATGTCTGGTCGGTATCACGATGCGGAATGCATGACGGGAAAAGGGAATTCAATTTTATGAAAAGGCGCATGGTGGAAAAGGAAAGGAAGCTTTATTCAAAGCAGCTCCATAACAAGTGAGCAAAAGTAATGAAACTCATCATGAAAACAACTCTTGTGAATGATGCAACTCCTCACTGTCCACCTACTCTGAAGTCTTTGGTTGTGTAAGAGGAATATCTGGTCAAATTTTAAGTTAGGGTATGGAACAACTTTACTCCTGTTTTAATTGTTTTCATTGGCTGATACGGAAGACTTTCTGAAGTGATGAGATTAAACTTTTTGGAAATTACATAGTTTCGCGGTAGTTAGTCAAGGGATAGATTTCAAAAAAAATCTTCTTCGACACTAATATTAAAATCCTTCCTTCTGTGCTATTGAAATTATGACAAAAGTTATATTGACATTAAATTATCTTACCGTAATTCAGTGTTCGTTACTAGGTTTGGAAGAGAGGAGAGATTCGAGAGCGATTTTTCTTGATGGATATAATTCGTTTTCGTAATGGAGAGCGCGACAAGAAAGTTGGATATTAGAGAGAGAAAAGACGGGGCTGTGTTCTTGATTCCCTAACAACAACAACCCTTGCACCAATGGAATATGTTTCAAAGATAAAAAAAGTAGTAAAGAATGATATACCATGATTCATTAATATGCACGCCTATGCAAACAACTCCATATAAACAAGACCAACCCAATAACTCCTCTCTATGACTTTCCCTTCCCTGTTCCGAAGAGCCTACCGTGAAAGACGAAAAAGTGGTATAGAACGATATACAAATGATAATGAATAAGATGCTCTTTTTCCACAACCCCGACCAAAAACACCCACGAAATGTATATATGCACAGAGAAAAGAAGTCATCGAGTAGGAACAGGAACAAATAACCCTAGTACTTTCGCCCCCTTCGACGCGGTAAGCCCGATTCCATACCAGTAGATGTGGGTGTCGCAATACCAGAATGAGCAACCATGACTTTCGGGGCCTGAATACCCTTTTTTGGTGTGGCGTCTGTTAAGCCTGCGGCGCGGATCGAGTTTTCTTTCTCGATCGAGCTGGTCATTTGTGGTAAGACGACTTTTTTGGGTGCAGCAAGGCGGCTTTTGCGCTGTGTGGGGAGTGATGAGGATGATACGCCAACGGGTACTACGTCTAGAGATGGCAGTTTAGTTTCGGATACGCTTGAGGAAACGCTGCTGTCGATAGAGGTGGGTGCGACAGGCATCTTCTTTGCCTTGGCCACTTTTAGCTTGGGTATTTGCGGGTGTTTTTGCTGTGTCGCCTTGTCCTGGCTCGCCTCCTTTTCTTCTTGAACTGCTTCCGGAAGGAGAGACGTTGGAACGGTCAAACCCTTTGCTGGAGTGCCGTTGGCGGTACCTAGGCCCCTGACTCTCCGGATCTTTGGTGTAGAAGTCTTGCTTGTCTTTTCCTTCTTTTTCTTCTTTGGCTCCGACCCAGTGTCTGAGAAGCTTAACTCGTCTGGGGTAGCTAGCGATTCTGCTTCGGCTAGGGCATTGGCAATAGTGTCCGGGTTCTCTTGGTAGTATGCTAGCTGCTCATCCCAACGTACGTTCTTGCCGACGACAATTTCCTTTGGAGTATCGTCAATTGGTGGTTGGGTCATTGCATCCATTTGAGCCTTCATCAAACGAACAGTAACACCGAATGCGCCTTGCTTATTCTTACGTGTGTTTGCGCGGGTCAAGTCCGCCAGGACCTTTGCATCGTCCTTCTTCAGGACAACCACTTCGTTTCCGTCATTGCGGCGGATGGCAATCTTGGGCGCTGGGGCCGGTCCGGTTGACGCTGGCGCAGGTAGGCGCGACTTCTTGGCTCTTGATGAGCGTCTCGTAGTCTTTTCGTTTGTTTCGTCTGCGTCTTCTGGCACTGTTGGGACTGGTGTAGGTGATGGTAGGGCCTCGCTAGGTGCGCTCAGTGTGGGCGCTTGCGAAAAATCAAGGGTCAAATCGATGTTGTGTTTGGCTGGCGAGTTGGGGTCTTTCTCTTCAAGGGCCTTTCTGGGAGAGGCTAGAGCATGACGGACGGCATCTGAATCGCGACGATTCTGCAACGACTCCCTTCGGTGTGTGGTGATGGCAGCCTTTTCGGCTTTGCTGGCGGCTGCACGGTTGAGAAAGTCTTTTAGCATAGCCGTGTCATCGTCGAAAGCAACCGTTACAGTGGTATCTTCGAAATTAGATGCTAGGCGAGGTGGAGGCGAATGAAGTTTTCGAGGCGTAGGTGAGGCAGGTTTCGATGTACTCAACGAGAGTGCCAAGCCATCTGTAATGTCTTCTGTAGGCGCCTCATCCATGGCATCGTCCTCGGATGTTACAGAATCGCTGTCAGTGGCGGCTTCATCGGCAGTAGGACTGGCCTCATCGTCCATGGTGTCGTCTTCGGAGTCATCTTCAGCGACCTGATGAGCTTGTACTTGTTCGGACAAGGAACCATCGCCTTGTGTAACCGTAGAAGAGGTTTCCCGTATTGTTTTCCGATAGTCCCTTAGGATATCCAGCTGTAGGGAGGCTTCAGTGAATTCTTCTTCCGGATCGTGTTCTTCCAAGAGGCTCGGTGTGTCTTCCTCCTCTATGTCGTCCTCTGGGCTCTCTGTTTCTGACTCGATTGGTAATGCTGCCTCGGGATTATCCTCTGTCTTAGACTGGTCTTCTTCGTGTGATGGTGGAGGTGACGAAGACTTGGTCTCATTGGTTGGTAAGGCGGGGTACTGAATCTCAGTGAGAGACTCAGGCATCTGGTCTATGGTATGTGGATCTTGTCCTTGTAGCTCAATCTTGTCGACATTGGTCTTCTCCTCGGGCTGCTCCACAATGTCTTCCATGGCTGCTTCCGACTCCTCCTCAATGGCTTGAATCTGTGGCAGCTCGGGGTAAGAAACTTTGGCAGGAGAACGGAACAGATTGGCAAGTGTTGTATCCTCAGCAGACCGAGCATCGGTGTCTTGTTCCATGTCTTGGTGCCCATCCAGGCTCTCGCGGTCGAGAAGGTCGTCTGTGGTAGCTGCGTCCAAGTTAAATGTAGAAGCAGGCGTCCTATGCGCGCCTGCTGGGCTTGCGACTGCGTCTTCTTCGCCTTGCATGGTCTCATCTGGCTCGTTGAGGCTGACACTGTCGCCTTCTGTCAAGTCGTAGCTGTGGTCGTCTCCCTCGTCGTCGCCGGTTGCTTCGTTATCAGCAAAAGGAGTGGCTCGCTTTCCTGAAAGCGCGTCAGTAGATTGTAGATAGCCATACGCTGGTGAAAAGCCTACTCGGCAACACGCTCTTCCTGCGGTCCCAGCGCGTGGCCTTGAAGGCGCGCTTCTTTGCATTAGGCCTGGTAGAGGTCTTCTCCATGGCCTTGGGGCTAATGTGCTGACGCCTCTTGACGGGTCTCGAGAGCGCATCTTGCTCCTCGTCATCAGCATCGTCCTGGAAGGTATTGTCGACACGCGATCTTAGGTTGAACCTCCGCCAGATCTTCTTCTCCTTTCCCTGGCCAATGCGCTTGACTTCTTGCTTGCGCTCCCAGCCACGAGGGATTTTTGCAACAGGAAGGGTGCTGGGATCGAAAAGGGCGGCATCGGCATCGTTCCAGGTGGTGTTGAATAGTGTTGTTTTGGCAGTCGGTGTGGCGCGTTTGCGCGGTGAGGGGGCCATGACGTCGATAGGGGAAAAGAATGCTACACGGATAGAAGATTCAGGGACGCGCAAACATGAGGGCTGAAGTCATGAGGGCCGTTAGTATCGTCGCATAGGGTTGGTGTTGTGTGGGTGCTGTATGTGTGTGTGTAAGTATGCGCTGTCTGTATGTATGTAAACAAAGGCTAAGATACGGCGCTAACATGCAAAGCAGGGATGACGACGGGGCAGCTCCGCACACGCCAAGTAAAGGCCATGCCCGCTGCGGGAAACTTTTGACCCGCCCATGATTAACGACGACGACGACGACAGCGACGACGACAATATCTGATCGTAATCCATCCACGTCCCGGACGACTCTACAGCCATCATGGTCCCAAAACCTCAAGGAAGTGCCGTGCAGTCGGCCACGCATCGCCCTCTCCCACCGCTTCCCAAGCTCCGCGTCCGACGACCAAACAAGCCAGAGGTGAACCCATGCCTCGGCGCAATGTCCTCGGTTCTGGGTATGTTTTCGCTGGAGGATTATATAAGTCGGAAATGTAGTGTTGGAATTGGCGCAGGCTGACATGTCTGTGCTAGGATGCTGGGCTTCATCGGGTTATAGCATGCAAGCATGCGCACAGCTTGAACAGAAATTGCGCCAGTGCATGGATGCTCCAGTATGTGCACTCGCCTCTCTACATGCTGGTGTATATGTGGTTTCTAACGGATACTCCAGCGAGATCCCAACCAAAAGAAGAACAACATCAACTACCACCTCTCGAGAATGTACCCCAAGATTGTTGGCCCTCACAAGCGCAACTAGACGGCCAGCGTCGCATTCTCTTTGTACATTACTCATACCCACGCCACGGCAGTCGCACGAAACAGCATCATGGAGGAGTTTTATCGCTTTTGGATCATCGCTTGGCGTTATGGGGACGAATGCTGTAGATAGGTCGTGCTAAGGAAGAGTCGGACGTTTGCATATGTTGAGTCTTGAGACCAATCTCTACTTGGAACCCTGAGCCATAATCACGTGCTGAGTACGCGCGGAACTGTGAAGCAAGGGAAAGGCGAGGCGAGGCCAAGCCATTCACGCAACCAGCCTCATGAGGCTGGTTGCTTGGTCTCATGTGGCATAATACGAAAACTAGGCCAGTGCGACTAAACTCCAAGGTCCGCCCTTTGCGCACGACCATTTGTGGCTTTGTTTGTTCTGTCTTGGGCCAGCGCTTACCTTCTACCACGACTCGTCACTCAAGACCCTCCAAGAGCGCCCGTCTTGCGAATCGTCGTGTATTGGTCAAGGCCATACAACTACTTCCCACACATTCTCCCACGTACAGAGCTCCTCTTTGTCTGCCTCAGCCCCTCACTTGCATGTCGATGCCCAGTAAGGCGTGCTACAAATTACCTCCAGCCATCCGGGAATTATTGCAACAGCGCTTCTCTTCGTCATTTTGCATGAATATGCTGTGTTCCGTTCGCTCAACATGCCCACTTTAGCTATATTTACGTCCTGTTGATCTGCGCCACATGCACGCTCAGGCCCACCCACTCTACACCATCACCACCACCACCAACTCTACCAGTGCGTAATCCTACGCTTGTCCCGATCCGGTACAAATATACAAACTACTCGTTTCATCAGTGGTCAACTACTCTGTCGTCTAGTCCAAGACGAGATAGCCGAGGTGTGCTTGGGAAGAGTGTTAGGAATGCCTTGCATGCTCATACTGACGCTTACCCCCATGCTACCGTGACATTTGCTCATGATCGCACCACGATGCCGCTTTCGATTGGACCGCCAGGGACATGAACCGATTTCTATAGGCAGGCGAAGCTCTGGAGCTACCCTGGCCGCAGCATATGTTGCTGGGATATTCTTCCTCGCTCTCATTGCGCTCAGCCGCCGCACGCTCTCCGCCATATCGCTTACTTATGTACCCTCTATCTTACTGCCTTTGCCTCGTCATTTCGATGTCGCCTTGAGAGAAGAGCCCCCCAAGCACATGGAAACACAATGACGGCTGTTCTTTTTACCCTCGCCTTTCTGGCGCCAGCAATCGCAAATGCAGCCGCACTATCAAAAGCAACACCAGAGCCTACACATTTCGTCTCTTCAGTGGATATATGGGGTCCTGCGCCAACAGCAGCAGCACAACTGCCCTTGTCTATATTCAAACGGCAGACCAGTGGAAGCGACTACACATGCGGCTTCGTCTCCGGATCGCCAGGTCAGTCTTCCTTGCCTACTCGAAGCTACCAACTTACTCAGTTCGAAAAAAGACAGCCCGATAACATGCGCAAACCCAACCCAGAAATGCGCAACAAACACCTACTTCGGCATCCACGGCTGCTGCGACCCAGCGTCAAACGCCCCCTGCACACTCCCCACATCCTGCATCGCATCCACCGACATGACCGCCTCATGCACAGACACCGCCTGCTCATCCGACGAGGCAATCGTAAAATGCACAACCAGCACCGCTCAAAAATGCTACCAGTGGCACTTCATCTACGATAACATGGTGATGACACAGCATGGTTGCGCCGAAACAGCTTTTACCAGCACTGCATATCGCTCCACAGGTATGAGCATATTATTATCGAGTAATACGGAAACGGGGAAAAGAGAGACAGTTACCGCGACTGTGACTACGAAGGAAGTTGTTTCCAGCAGTCCTAGTCTTCCTGCTGTGACGGAAGATAAAGATACAACGACTTCCGAGGAAGGAAAAAATAGTCTAGGAGCAGTGATAGGCGGTACAGTCAGTGCTTGCGTCTTCGTTTGTTTCCTTGCTTTTGTGGGTTTTCTGGCGTGGAGGCGGCGGAGGAACTTGAAAGGGCGGAATGCGCAATCCTACAAGCAACAGCAGTCAATGATAGAGTATCATGCTGTTTTGTATGGAGATGATAACAAGGCTTGGGATCAGCAGCATGGGGTGGTGGCGTGTGAGAGGGTGATTTGCATGGGAGATGGCGTGGGTGTTATCGAGATGGATGGGACACAGAGACCTGTTGAAGCGCCGACGGGAGAGAAGTGAAAACAATCCGAATCATATTCTGCTATTTCCAAATCAGAGGTGTACATAGTATCACGATTTCCAATCTAAGCTACTGCTCTCGTGACAATATATGACATTTGATGCTTTCTCGTGGATCATGAATCCTAGGTACTACCGTAAAGATCCACTAAATCCCTATTATAAAAGCAACAAAAGTACACCCATCATGCCCATCTACTCTTCCTCCACTTACCACATCAAATCAACCTGCTCCATCCCAATATAGTCACCAACATTCCCCTCACCCACCGCACTACGCTCCTCCTCATTCTCTACAGGCACTACACTCACTGGCTGACAATCCTCAAGCGAATAATGCTGATCAGGCTTGAACCAACACTTTCTCTGCCCCGTCGGCCTGGGGCCCTTGCAATCCTCCTTTTGACACAAGTGTCCAAAGATACAATGCTCCCTCCTACACCCACTTTTCCTGGGACACGGAGTGCGCTTCACAACGTACTCGAGTACGCGCCTGACTTGTGCGTCGAGCTCGCTATGGTCAAACTTGCAGTCATAACTTGTGCAACTGCCCTCGAGATGAAACGCGTTGCATGGTTTGGCCTTGTGGAAATGCGTGTTGTACACCTTCCAGTCCTGTGCGGAGGGCTGGGGGTAGTGTGGGTCGAGGCGCTGGAGATTCTTGTTCACGGGAACGAAACCTGGTACGAACTCTTTGGGAAGGACGGATGAGACTTCACTTCGATCACCCAAGAGCGCTTGGGGTGCTGGAGAGGCTTGAGATGTTTCTGCAGGACCCTGTGCCCAGGACGATTCTGAGAGAGCGTGTAGTGTTGGGCTTAGAAGTGGCCTGGAGTCCTGGCCACTATCGCCACCATTGACACTACCGGTCAGACTGCCAGGACCGTGTAGGAAGTTGCATTTTCCACCAGCGCGACAAAATCCCTTTTGGAAGTGTCTGCACACGTTTTTCTTCTTAGCCGCCCCAGTTGGCATGCTTTGCGGTGCTTGGTCGCGTGGGGATGGACTGTCCCATCGGGCAGGCTCGGGCTCGGGCTCCACAAAGTCGTTCGATTCTTCAGGCGATGAGTCGCCAAACGCAGACTCTGTTGCGCTCACCGGACCGTTACGTCTCCATGAACTCCCATGGGAAGGTTGTGGTCCATTTGTCAGTGCAGGAGATAAGGGACCGGATGCAGACTCTGCTACGCTCACAGAGTCGTTTCGTCTCCATGACTCTTTATGTAGAGCCGCTAATCCAGGTTTCAGTATGGGTTGTTGCAATGGCGCTTTTTGTTTGGGCGGAGTGGGCGTTGCCGGTTTATTGGCCGGTGGTGCAGAGGATACTCCAGACCAGCTAAAGACGGTGGGAAACTGGGTCACCTCCAAATTGAATTGATGAAATTCCGGGTGCCATTTGCTGCCTTGTATGAGCGTGACTTTGTCGCGTGCACCATTGTAGGATACGAGTAGAGACTGATAAGCCGGGTCGTTACAGGCCGCGAACAGAATGTGACTACAGGCCGCATCTTCGGATGCAAACTTGAACTGGTCTGCAGAATGTTGGTTATTATCTTATATGTATCTTGGTAAGCCAGTAACTATACCTCTGATTTTGATCCTGGTACCCTCTTCATCCAAGGTATCAATGAAGTCGAAGAGACTAAGGGCACGTGTGAAACCGGCAGTGAAGGACGCTAGAGATCGCTTCTCCATGCCAGTCAGCTTTAGCCTTGCGAGCTGCTTGGACAAGTTGGTGAGATCGGCGTAAATGTGTACAATTACGCGTCTGGGCACAGTCTGTGATATGCTTTGTATGTACTTTTCTATAGCATCATTGAGCTTGCGAGCAGCACGCATGCCGCCTTCTTCCTTATCGCGGATGAGCTCTTCATTGAACTGTGCAGAGTCAGACAAGTCTTTTCATGCAAAGCTGGAAAACTCACAATGTAGTCGTTTCCATCGACTAGTACAAGGACATAGGAATCAAGCGGCTTTTTTGCTGCATTTACAGTAGGCGTTCCCAATGTAAATGGCTTTGAAATAGTGTTGGTTATCATGTCCTCGTAGGCTTTCTTAAGTACTTTGTACTCGTTGAGCAATTGACGATACTCGGCGAGAAGGTTCTAAGTGGGGGATTAGTGGAGTATGGGGAAAGTAAGCGCATGTCGATATTCTCCTACATCTAAATCAATCCGTCTTTCCTGATCACGTTCCTTGAACTGCTCCAAACGCGCGCCAAGCGAGTCGATTTTCTTTTCTGGCAGCATGGCGGCTGTGGTGCAACGTTACTATCGGCTTACGGCTGCAGATCTACTTCGGTCAGACAGCAGGCCGATGAGTTGATGGGGTGATGAATAAGAAATCCAGATCAATTGGAACTAGTACAGCCTCATAATCAACCACGCTATGGATATTTTATATGTGGAGCGGAGTGTGTCGGCGTACCTGTTAGCTGACGTAGGTGGGCATTCTGCGTGGCCTGTGCAGCAATTTAGCGGTCCTTATCGCCGTCATGTGACAGAGAGGAACCAAGCTCGCTCTTTCACTCATTTCATTTCAACCCATGCTCAAGGCAGCAAGAAGAGCAGGAAGAGCATGAAGGAGTTGAAATGTTCAAAGCGCTAGGTGTAATATTGGGATCTTTCAATCACGATTATGATATAATCAGCATATTATAAATGATAAAAACAGGATTAAGCTCACTTATCAATGCAGAGTGAGCTTTAACAACAGCCTCAGCTTATTAACGGTATGGGCAAAGGTATAAAGAAATTATCTCTACGCTCTTACCAGAACCAACCACGAGCGTGAAATTCAAAACAAAGCAAATAAACAGCACTGTCATGTCCGTTCTCACATGTCGACGTGTCAAGACATGGCCACGTGACATGCAAAGTGTGCAAAAAATAAAAAAAGTCACAAAACAAAAACATACGACAGCGGGGATTCGCTAGTGGTCACCCACCTAACTACTAATCCGCCGGTAAACTGCTTGTATAGGGCAGATCGGACGGGATGCCTAATTCTCAGTTTCCAATGGTCGTATGTACTTTGCTATCAAAATTAACATGAATAAGTTCGCATGTCGCACGTATTTGCGGTCATGGGTCAAGTGCCCATGGGCGGGCTCACGTGACGCTATCGATAAACCTAGCCTGGCACTGCCGCGTGGAACAGAAGTCCGCACACCATTCAGAGGCAGTTATTTTCAAGGCTAGAGAATGTACCAGCGAAATGATACTTTTTGTGGGTGCATAGCGCTAGACATATAAAGGCGTGGATGCAGCGTTCGTTTCTCGCAAGCATATAAGAGAGAATCACGGATATCAAGGACTGTATTGTCACTGCTCTCCTCCTCCTCCTCCACCAGCTTCTGCAGTCATAATCTCCGACCCGAAGCTAATCACCGAGTCTAGCTCATGCATGAATGATCTCTTGAATACATGTAAAATACACAGTAACTCCTACCCCTGCTGCCTCGGTAGTAAATTCAATACCACTATTCCCTGGAGAGAATATCCGGATTACAGTTCCCTCCCCTGCCCAATGACCACAATACCCAGAGACTATGCACTCAACCACTGCCCAAGAAACCTCTTAGGGCAGATTCGACTTGCTGGTCGTTGTAACCCTGACCATGCATCTGCTGAATCATCTGCTGCTGTGCGTGCGTACCCTGGCCTTGACCAACACCGTCCCTATGACCCATTTGTGCACCTGGCGGTTCCGGCAAGCCGTGACTAGGCGGAACATTCGAACCATACCCGTTAGTAGTGTTGAGTAGCTGAGGATAGGCGTGGTTTGGCACATGCACTGAGCCAGGGTATCCAGGCGGTGGAATGGGATTAGCCTTGGCGAGAGCTGCCTTTTCTTTATCCCTCTTCTTCTGCTGCACAAGAGTACCCTTGACGCCACGTAGATACTTGACTGCTGCATCTACAAGCTCTTTGTCTTCTGGCGAGCTCTTGAGAGCCTCCAGCATTTCACGAACTTGGGTTTCGGATTTGATGTGCGGACATGTACGGGAGTATCCATAGTGCGCTAGACCGCACAAGCCACAGTGTTCGACACCTGCGACTTTGAACTCACAAGCACCCTGTGGATGGTTTTTCAAACAAGCTGGGCAGGAATATTGGCTGTAGGTACCATATGCCAATGCAAGCGGATTCCGGATCGGTAGTTGTACACGCTGGAACGGTTTGACTGCTGTCCTGTTAGTTTTTGATACTTTTGGCGCCTTTCGAGATGGGTCTGGGGAAGTATAGGCCATGGCGGACGGATCTTGGAAGCTCAAGGCACCAGTAGATGAAGAGGGGAAATGACCTGGTTGTGTACTGCTGCCAGGCTTTCTGTACTCATCGAAAGAAACCTTGAAGCCGCCTCGCGGTGGTACGATGGCCATGGACGTAGACGGCGGAAGAAGGGAGACACCGGGAAATCTTGGGGGTTGACTAGAAAAAACACTGGACACACCTGCGCCGTTCTGCTTGTATAGCGACGAGCTGGCAGTATTTTTTGTACTTTGAAGACGATCATCGCCGAGCTCTCGAGCAACGTTGGCATCTTCATTATCCGAACCAGGCTCGCTCTCGTCCTCAGACTCGGCTTGGAAGTCGGTGTCACTTTCAGAATCTCTTTTGACCTTACGCTTCTTCTTCGACTTCTTGATAGGGGAGGGCGGATGAGCGAGGTTATCTTCGAAATGATCTTCTCCAGCGACAGATGTATTGTCAGCATCTTTCATCTCAGCAGTGTAATCAACATTCTGTATCAAGTCAGTTTCTGCCAACACGAGTAACAAAGCATGACATACGGTTTTAGCCCGCCGACCCCTACCCATGGCCTCAGCCCGCGCGAGTGCTTCAGCGGCCGCTGCAGCTTGCCTCTCCTTCAGAATCCTGTCCCAAACTCCCGGATCTGGGGCCACCTCTTCATCGGCCATATCAAAGTCGTCCTGCAATGTGCCTTTCTCATTCACCCAAATGCGCGCAAATCCGAATTGTGACTCGGCAGAATCATCCTCGCTCGTCTGCGTCTTCTCAATCTGGCTACGATCCAGCAGCTTTTCAATTGAGGCGTCGTCATAACGAATGTCGTGGTCTGCATCATCGTCTTTGAAGAGTTCTGCTGCACCGTATTTGAGTATCGACTCAACATCCTCATCTTCCGGGTCTTCCCTGTCGAGATCTTGAACGACCACCTTATCCAAAGCCATCTTCTTCTTTCCCATTTGCATAATCTTCTCTTCAACTGAGGCTCGGGTTGCTAGCTGAAGGCAAAGGACCTTATTCTTTTGACCAATGCGATGAGCTCGGGCAATAGCCTGGAGATCCTGGTGTGGGTTCCAATCTGGATCCAGGATAATAACAGTGTCGGCAGTTGCAAGGTTGATGCCAACACCACCTGCACGAGTGGAGAGTAAAAAGGCAAAGAGAGGTGAGTTGGGGGCGTTAAACTGATCAATGCGCTTCTGCTTTTCGAGCGAACCCATTGTCCCGTCCAGTCGCTGGTATGCAAGCTGCATGCCATCCAGGAAGTCTTCAATGATGTTGAGCATGTCGAGAAACTGACTGAAAATGAGTACTCGGTGGCCACGCTCCTTGAGTTTTGGTAACAGTAGTTCCAGAAGACCGAGCTTGGCAGAGGCTTCGACTAGGTTGCGATGGGATACAGCAGCAACATCGGTTCGCTCCTCAATCTCGCGGCTGTAGACAAATGGATGGCAGAGACATTTGCGCAGTTGCATGAGGATGTTACCAAGATTGCTGCGCTCTCGGGGGTTAAGTTGCCTGTCAGTAGTAAAGAGTGCCTTGAGAAGCTCAGGGCTCTTCGACAAGATCGACTTGTACACTTGCTTTTGTAGGTGGCTCATGGATATTGGAAGAATGATCTGACCCAGGGGCGGCAGGAAGGTCAACACCTTTGCTTTGGTCCGACGAAGGATAAAGGGACGGATGCGGTTGTGTAGCTCCCTGATCTTCTCCGCGTTCATATCTGCATACTCCTCCTCGAGCTCAGCAGCATCAATGGTATCGTCCAGGAACTGCAACAGATTGAAGAGCTCTCTGGCATTGTTTTGAAGCGGTGTACCGGTCAGTAGCAGTCGAAAAGGCACACGTACTGCTGTGAGAGCAGAGTACAGCTGGCTCTTGTCGTTCTTCAAACGCTGGCCCTCATCAACAATGAGGCCTACCCAATTCACGCTCCTAAAGAACCTCCTGCAACTGTGGTCGGCGGCCGCTTCATACGATGTCACGACAATGTGGCATCGTAGGTCCTTGGCATTGTTGGGATACATCTCGTACTTGTAGGCCATTTCACGAGCTTTAGCTGAGCCAAAGTATGCAACGACGCGGAGAGACGGTGCCCATTGCTTGATTTCCCGTCGCCAATTGGCACAAGTGGAGTTTGGTACAACAATCAGAAAAGGAAAGCAGCTATGTTCCTGGGCGAGTGTTGCCATGAAAGCAATGACTTGAATCGTCTTTCCAAGACCCATCTCGTCGGCAAGAATGGCATTCTTTTGATCGTACCATTTGTAGTAGAGCCAGTTGAGCCCCTCCAATTGGTACTTCATCAGTTCTCCACCCACAAGACTGTCAGGCTGCTTTTCTCTCTCCAAAGTGGCAAACGGTGTGCTACGCACTTTGTCGAGGCGTGCCTTGAGGGCACTTTGTTTCGGGCACTTCACATAACGGCCCGCGACCCAATCGTTGTATGCAGTGACAAAGTCCAGCCATCTATCACCATCTTCCGGCGTTGGGACGCTCTCCCATACGGCGTCTTCGTATCCGAGACCTTTGTACTTGATAAGAGCCTGATCCACCTCTTTAATGCGAGCCTTGTCAATTTCCTCGCTACGGATCTCCACATAGCTAGTGTATCTGATGTCAAGGACGATGTCGATGCGGAGGTACTCCTCAGGAATGGCGTCTTCAGTGTGCATTTTGGGGCCTTCTTCACGTTTGAAGAAAGCTTTTCGCTGGATTCCGGCGGTAACACCCCAGGTCCAGGCTCCAGAGTGCCATGCTGCTTGAAAGTAAGATTTGTTCTCCCATTTGATAAGATACTGCTTGTCGTCTTCGCAGATTCGCTCGCAAGGTATGCCCAGTCTATATGACTCGACATCCGACGGTCGCCAGGCGACGATTGCACCGACTTTACGGTCGTTGGTCTCGTCGCACTCTTTACAGAGCCACTTTCTAGAGTATTCGCGAAACCGCTCGTCCGCTAGCTCTTCGTCATCACGGTTGGCGTCCATTGCATATGGAGATATAGGTGGCAGGTGATGATAATGCCATGCTCGAGAGCATTTAGTGCATCGAAAGAGGACATTGTTTGCGTTGTTGATCAATTCAGAACGAACGTCAACTACCGGATCGTATCCGTTATTCTCTTCGCGTTCCTTCATCTCTTGTTGAGTTGTTTTACGACTTCTGAAAGGATGACATGAGGCACCGGATACTGCGCAGTCCTGACACCGGGATAGGTCTGGGGCAGTCGCATCCTTCATCTTGTAGAAGCCGATACATCGCTTGCACTGCAACACAAAGTCCTCGTCGCCAATCTTTGTGACAAGATGATCACGAGTAGATCGATTGCCAAGGCAGTTCTTGTGGTACGCAAATGAACACCCTTGGCAGTAAATCAAAGGTGCAACGTTGGGTCCATCAAAGCACACTTCGCAGCCTTCTGCGTGGCGCCCGCGAAAGGGGTGACTTCGGGGAAGTTTTGCGAACACCTCGCGGACGACTGACACCTTCTGGGCAGCAACTTTTGGCTCTGAATCCGATCGATATATGTCATCCATGCCCGCTTCCTGCATATTGTTCGTTGCTCGTGTTGCTCGATCAGACTGCCGTTGGCCTACACGAGGGACCTTTTCTGGATAAGTAGTGCGCAAGGACCGTCGTTTGCGCTTCCGACCAGCGCCCAAATCAGAAAGGAGAATGTCAGAAGCGCTCGAGTTGTCAGTGTCGTCGTCTTCATCATAGCCCTGCACTTGTAGTGGTTTTCTCGATGAACGGCGTGTGGGCTCTTGTGCGCCTTTGCGCTTTCGGCCTCTCGGTTTTCTACCGGAAACGCCAGAGTCCTCGTCGTCTGTGGATAGTGCAACCAGGCCGCTGCTCAACGAGTGAGCTCTGGAGGATCTCTGCGAGCGAGCGCTGCGCTTCAGTGTCCGTACGCGACCATGTCGCTGTGTGCGCGAGGCCGTTGCGGGCCCATCTTGGTCGTCGTCTTCCGAGGAAGAAATGGGAATCGTTGAAATATCTACAAAGTCCTTGTTTGTGACTTTTGAAAATCTAGCCCGGAGCTTCATGTCGTCGTCGTCGTCAGCGCTCGATGTCATACCGGAATTGTCGTGCAACTCAAATGCATGCAGTGCTTCTGAGCCCCCAGGTAGTTGGAGAAGCTCTTCGAAAGAGAGCTGAGTTTACTTAGTAAGATACTGAGAGTTATGTGTGGAAAGGTGGAAAGGTGGAAAGGCGAGCAAGAAAGGATAGTGGCAGTAGGAGTCAGACCGCTCCTATGTATTGTGAAAGGCATTTCTACTGCCTTTACCTGTGAAAGGGTGATTCTCAATTGACATCAAACTCACCTGCTCAATGCCATTTCCAGACAACTTGACTTGGTAGGCTATTTCTCCCAGTTTGCCTGAGATCTCCCGAACAACGCGTTCAACTTCCTCGCTTGGTTCAAAGTATGTATATTCTGCTCTATTGATCCTGACTGGTGGTATGCGCACACATTGCAGTCTACGTCTCACTGGGTTTTTCTGGACGTGTATAGCAGATTTATCGTCAGATGACGAAGCGGCTAGAGGGGGTGGGACAGCTCCCGAAGGCTGCCTTGCAGGCTCCATTGGTGTAGGAGTGGGCATGGACTTGGGGGCAGTCCTTTTCTTGAAAGCGGCCATGAGCGCCGCGCTATCTTCATCACTACTCATGATGGTGTACAAGCGGCCACACGGGGTTAATACTTTGCGGTGCGGTTATTGTAGAGTAATTCACCGGCGCGGATCGCACCATGTACGCATTGAAGAGTGGGGGTGAGAGCGTCGGACGGCTGAACCAAACGAGTGTGTAGGCAGATAGCCGATGGGGTTAACTCTCAGCGAACGCGAAGCGCGCAGCCGCGGGCACGTGATGACGCGTCCGCGCTAAGAGTTAGTGCAAACGCCTAGCTTGGCGGGGTGCAACTTTTTTGACTTTGCGATAATTGGATCTAGGAATACTGCAATACAAAATTGCCAATTCCACGGCCGCAAAAGCCTGTATTTCTTGTTATGACATACCCTTTTTTCAATGGTAGCTCGCTATTTCGGACGCAGCAAATAATTCTGCCACGGACTTTTTGTCGCTACAAATCCATCACTGCTGCTATTGAGAGGGGTAGATCAGGCGGCCCGGATCGACCCTTTAGACCGCGCTCACGAGCTTTCCAGGACAACGAGGATGAACAGCCACTGAAGGCTCGTTATGAGGCGAGGTTTGAACGATTTAGCTCTCCACGTGACAGTGGTTCCGGGAGATTTCAAGAAGACCGACCCAGGACTCGTACATCTTATCCACGCACCAGGGATCATGTGACACTCGACAAAGGGCGTGCTCGAGATGGAGCAAATGGACGTTTTTCTGAATCACCGTTCTCTTATCGGTCCGACATGAGAGGAGCACTAAGGGAGCGATTTGGTAGAGACCAGTTTGCGCATACTCGAAATGTAGCAGATGGCCATTCATCTGAACCGCAGTTTTCTCGTCGCCAAGACACAAGAACAGCACCAGGGGATCGATTTGGTGGAGGGCAATCTAGTGAGGCGGCTGGGACAAAGAGCAGGACAGAGGTTCAAAGGAAATCGGTGCAGGGACCAGAATCACTTCCCTACACGACTGCCGCTTCAGAGTTCATCTATGGCCACTCAAGTGTCCTCGCTGCAATCAAAGCAAACCGGCGTAAATTCTATAAGCTCTATGTACACTCTCGGGGTGCGAGCAGAGATGGGCTAATGTCTCAGATCCGAGCCCACAAGCTTTTCCCAATCACGGAAGAAGTAGGAGACGAGTATCTGCGTGCAATGGACAAGGCTAGCAGTGGGCGCCCGCACAATGGCGTAATCCTAGAGTCATCCCCACTTCCTGTTCTGCCCATTACAGAACTCAAGATGGGATCCCTTCAAGATGAAAGCTTCAGCGTAGCGCTTGGCAGTCAGAGCACTGAAGATGTACTTGTCAATGGCAAGCAGGAGCTATACACATACAGGTCGGGCGGCTGGAGACATCCACTAGTGCTATACGTGGATGGAGTAGTAAGTGGGCATTGGTCGTTGAAGAGAGAGAGTGGAAACTAACCAGATCAGGTTGACGAAGGCAATCTCGGGGCCATTGCACGGTCGGCCTATGTGTTAGGCGCAGATGCCATTGTGACCCCGACGCACCACACGGCAAACTGGAGCCACATTGCGGTCAAGGCCTCGGCAGGGGCCGCTGAAGCGATGGCGCTGTTCAAGGTTGGAGAACCCACAGATTTCCTGGGTAGAAGCTCTAGAGCAGGCTGGCGAATATACGCGAGCGATGCAGTGCCGCGCACTCTAACTAGTAGTATGTCAAGTGCCGAAGCCACTGATATGGAGTGTGGCGGGGTTGTATACACCATGGCTCGAAGCACCAAACGGCTGCCCTCGGGCCACAGCCCTGTAGCAGAGCATCCTACGATAGTGATGATGGGGGCTGAGGGTACGGGGTTGAGGGCTAGCCTGTTGAATCTGGCGCATTATAAAGTGGGTATTCGGCATGGTCGCGGGGTCAACGAGGTTGGTGTGGACAGTCTGAACGTTAGTGTTGCAGCCTCCATCCTCTGCTACGAGATGCTGCAGAGGCCAAAGGCGCCACCGAAGCGCGATGCAGAAGAGGCTCTCTTCTAGATGCCTTCTGTAGCCATGAATTGAGACGCCAGCGGGTTGTAGCACGCATGTTTTGTCCATCAGGGTCTCAACTAATGTTGTGATCGGGGGTCATCAAGTAGGGGGGACGTTGGTGTGGGAATGCTTGGCGGACGAGTAAGGAAGGCGCGGCCGTCGGCGAGATGCATGGTTATCAATACATACGATATGCGCTGACTGCGACATGGCCCAATACGCGAGGCGAGGCTCGCTTACAGCAGCAGGGCAATATGGATGGGCTGGCGAGGGCGCAAGAGACGAGGCATGATTGGAATCGGAGAGGTTGAGCAGCAACGGCCTTGGCCAGCGAGATTCACGAGGGCACTCAACAAGCGCGAGGCCATGATCAACACAGCGCCCGCCCCACCGGTTTACCGGTGCTGGGTGTGTGCGTGTGTGTGCGTGTGTGTATGCAGACATGGTCATCGGTGGACATGTCTGGACGTGTGACCAAGTTTCTTATCTCTGAGGGCCAAACTGGGCCCAGGTGCAACCCATTAACCACACCAGGAGTGGTGTGCAAAGTTTTTTGCAGGGCCGTACACAGCAAGTGAAGCTGGCAAGGCAACGGGCAGTGCTAAGGGCTGAGGGTGCATCGGCGATCGGAGCATTCAGCATCGAGTTTGACACCGCCATTTGACAATGCGATGGTTGCAGCATGTCACCGCGGAGGACATTCCTGTATGCGCGACAGGGGCGGGGGGAGGGACAAGATGGCCTGTGGTGGAATACTAGGCGAGCAGAGTAGAGCAGAGTAGGGCAGAGTAGAGCAGGCTGGTTGGCTGGTTGGTGGTGCACCCATGGCGTGACTGGGGCCATGAGCGGCAGGCGATGGTGGTACTGTATATGTACATGTATGGTGGTGTAAGTGGTGTAGTTGCATATATTAGCGTACATACATGGTAAGTAGTAGTAGTATAGTGTGTGTGAGTGCATGTGCATGTGTATGCAATCGAGTTAGTTGGGCCTTTGCATATGTTTCTTTTCTTTTGTTGCGCCGCGTCGGGGGTGGAGCGGGGCAGGACAGGACAGGACAGGACAGGACAAGGCAGGGCAGGCCGAATGGCGTCCCCCTGTCGTCATGGCAAGAATCAATCGTGGTGCTAGCGCGACAACGACAAAAGCCCTGCTCTGATCACTCATGGCTCGTTTCAACCCTCCATGACCGGTGCCGTCATCATCATCATTATGCTGTGCTTCGCCCTCGTCCTCCTCTAGGCCCCCGGCTTCATCCGTCCTCTGCGCCTTCCCCCCCGCATCCTCTGCACGCGCCGTACCCACGCCACTACCACGCTTGCAACCCTTTTGCTTTGGTCTCTTGTCTGCGCTTTTTATCTAGCAGTACTTCAAATCGCGCACTCCCACTCCCACTCCCACTCCCGCCTGCCCTTAAGGCCCCCGCTGCGAGCCCTCAACGCCACACCCTCCCTCGACTCGTCGACTCCTCGACACATCCACGCCCACCATGACGCGAAGGACAGTCTACGCCGCCGGCCTCGTCCTCACCTTGGCCTGTATGCACCATACACCCCATCTTGAAATGCGCTTGTCAAGATACTAACATGTCGCTAGGCACCATCATGACCATTGCCAGTATCTCGATGCCGCGCTGGGTCAGTTACAGCCCCAACGGCGAGCGCGAATACTCCTATGGCCTCCACACTCGCTGCTCTGCCATCACAGGCACCTGTGTTTCCTTTCCCAAGTCGAGCGACTGCACAAAAGATCCCTCCTTTTGCAACATGTGGCGCACGGTTGGCTTCCTGACCTCCTTCGGTGTTGTCGTTGAGCTTTGCGCCATCGTCGCTTTTGTCGTCATCATTTCTGGTGGTGTCCAGCGCAGGGCCGCTGGCTGGCAAGTTGCTGTCGGTGTCTTGTCCTTTAGCGCCCTCGTCCAGTGCGCTGGCATGGCTATAGTGGTATGTTTCTTTTTGCCTCAAGACGCTAAACCCACCATCTAACAATACTTGCCAGGCTTTCCTCTTTGACCATGACGATCGATTCTGGAACGGCTGGCATCTCGATCTCTCCTGGTCTCTGTGCACTGCCAGCTGGACCATTCTCATCCTGACATCCATTGGCATTGCCGCTTCCGCCTTTTACCTGCCTGCCGAGGGCGACTACGAACTTATTCCCGAAGACTACTACGGTCCTCCAGACGATCGGTGAGCGCTCTCGCTTCCCATGGCTATAACATGTGCGCATGTGGACTGTTTTAATTGTGGGCTAGGCTTCTTTCGCGCATTTCGGCTTGGGACAACGGTTTCAAGGGCCCAGACTCCGGAATGCAGTATAGCTATCAGCGGGATCAGGATAGCATGAGTGACGTTGTCAGCATCGCCGCCAGTAGCATTGCTGCGAGCCATAGACGGGAAAGTGATGTTAGGAAATAAACAAGCAGATGCAGCACGAGGACCGCGGTACACCTACAAGCGACGCATACCATGATCCGCGATATACGTAATGTGGTCGGAACCGGTGTTTGGGGGATGGAGGCATCTTTTTTTACCTTTTGGCGTCAATTTGACAGCATGGCGGAATTCTGTGGCGTGGATTGTTATTGATTTCGACGATACCCCTGCCATCCACTGGTGGTTGGGCAGTGTAACTTTTGGCTGAAGTTGATGTAATTACCCAGAATTCGAGAATTGAGGCAATACCAACTGATTTCCCAGTGGTGGTTGCCAGTGACCATGATTAACCCGGCCCCCCCAAAAAAAAGCCACCAATACACAATGCAGGTATCGTTTAATTAATAAATCGAGCATTGACGAGTAAGTAGATGCATGCGCGAGGTGAACGCACATATGTACATACATATTAATTTTGCGGGGATGGAACTACTTTAGCGCCACCATAGGGCTGGCCTTAGCGAAGTGGTCGCACATCTCCAATTCGCGACAACGACGGCGTCGTCTAACTCAATAATCGCGTAACGGAATGTAAGAAACTGCCCTGTACCTACTTGAAATTAGGCACTCCCATTTATGATTTGAACTAACAATTGCGTCAGAATTTCATAAAAATCCACAATTTCGCACACAATGGCCGACCAAAAGGCATTGAAGTACTACCCTGCCGAGGAGGAGGCGCAGATGAAGAAGGTATGTGGAATTTCTTGCAGGCGAAATCGCGGAACTTGGCGTGATGAGCGCGAAGAGGAGACAGGAGAAAACAGCCAAGTGAACTATAAACAGAGGCGCGCAAAACTACATAGACTAACACCATCTGACTACAGGCGCGCAAAACCGCACACCCGACCAAATACCGCGACTCGCTCGCCCCTGGAACCGTCTTGATCCTCCTCTCGGGCCGCTTCCGCGGTAAGCGCGTCGTGCTTCTGCGCCAACTCGAGCAGGGCGTCCTCCTCATCACCGGTCCCTTCAAATCCAACGGCGTCCCTCTGCGCCGCGTAAACCACCGCTACGTCATTGCTACCTCGACCGTCGTCGACATCTCCGCCGTAGACACCGAAGTCGTTTTGCGCGTATCCAAGGACGAGTACTGGGCGCGTGAGAAGAAGGATGAGGATGAGTTCTTCAAGGAGGGCAGTGAGACGCCTGCCAAGAAGGAAGTTGATCCCCAGCGGATTGAGGATCAGAAGGCTGTGGATAAGAGTATCATGGCTAGCATCAAGAAGACACCGGATCTTGAGGCTTACCTGAGCGCAAGTTTCAGCCTCCGGGGCAACGAGAGGCCGCATGAGATGGTTTTTTAAAGGGGAGGTGAAGGGATTGTAATGAGACGACGAGTGTATGTGGTCCTGGGACATGAATATGAAAAAAAAAAAGGGAAAAGTTAAGGTTTGCGTTTCGCCTGAGAAAAGAGTATATTCGATTTGAAAGCCGGGAATATGGAGGAAAAAGTTACTATGAGGATGTAGGGCACAACTGAATGCCTTGTTCGACTGCAAGCAGTGGCAAAAAGGCACGGTTTCATATGTATATGAGATACCCACGAAATGAAAACACATGAATACAGACACAGCAACAGTACACTGTACATGGTCTCGACATCAGCTGCCAAGAATCGGGTGTTTACTAAACTGACCGACTCTCACTTCCAAAATGAAGGCCAGTGCCAGTTGTGCAGCGTAGCCATTCTTTCAGTCGATGAATCGTCCCCTACCGATAATGGATGCTACAGAGACTGAGTAACGTTCAATCGACAGTTCAAAATTGCTTGGATCGAGGAAAAAGTCACGGATCAGAAGTGCCGGTTCGACCGCTTGAAAATCACGATAGTTTCGAGTTGCTTGGGTACCGACCGCGGTATACTAAGTTATTTTATGTCACCCTCTTTTACACCAGACTTAAGCAACAATGATTCATGGAAAGAAATCTACCACCGGCCTCCTACGCAATCTCCACCTATCCCCATATTCCAAATTTGTCAGGCTAGTCTCGGCCGCATCTATCGCGTCACCCATGACAACAAATCTCGGGCGACTTGAGAAGGTATCTGACCGATCGCTTCTCCAGCAGGTCCGATGAAACCCACGTATCGCCCAGAATGATACACGGCGAACGTCCAATCCCCAGCATCAACATTGGGGAATCAATAGGGGCGGCTAGTATCAAATTTGCATCATTCCCATTTTACGGAAGTCAAATTGAACATTCAGTTTTTTAACCCCCCTTTAAAAAAAAGGTTGGGGTTTAACTCCTAGCTATATATTACATCAGAGACATCCAGAACCAAATGGTTCCACAGTCAAGTATAACCTCCGCATGTCAGATATGCACAGGAGGACCGATTCCAGCTTCCGCGTCGCGAGGTAACTGAGGAGGAGATTTGAGGAAAGAATGTGGGGGGGGGGGCTTTGGCGGGATGGGTTGCGGGGAATTGATGCTTGAACATGAGTCGGCGCACCTACTAAGTACTTACTGGACGTACTCGCCGCTATAAGAACACAATAGCAGCGCCCCATGCAACGATATACTCGAGACCTACGTGGTTCCTAAAATTTTGGAGTTTATGTGTGTGTGTGTGTGCTCTACATGTTACTTTGTATGTGTTGGAGGGAAAGCACGGATGAGCGTGTCAATACAGTGTTTGATAATGTGATTGGGTTTAAGCTCATGTAAGATCACATGGACAGCCTGGCAAGATGATTGTCAGCTTACCGATACTACTTCTACTAGCCAAGTCGTGCTCGGTACCTCTTCAAAGTCCGATCAACTAGACTCTGAATCGTTTATGAGTGGAAATATATTAGCTATGGTATTTAGTGGCCTTTTAGCATCGTAGGTGTCTAGCCTGTCGCATGCGTTACTACTTACTGTCAATCAAGATACGCCACTCACTGTGTCGAGCCACTCCTTGTAAACCCAAATAGCATCATATTTATTTCAATCGTAATGTATATTGACCGTGACATATTCCCTGCTAAAAGGAAGCTGAAGGATAAGATATGTTAAGCGAATATATGCACGCACAGTCACGGTAGGTAAAAGAATAGCTCCAGAAGTTGTAGGTTGTATTAAGAGAATGTAACTATTAGCTCTATGCTTTCAATGAATGTAACCATCGCTCTACGCTTTTAAAGGAATGTGATTTCCGTTCTATGCTTTTAAGGAATGGAATTACCGCTCAAGTCTATCCGCATTCGTCATGAATTATTAGTTCCAGAGTTCCAGCTCCTGCTCTCATCTTGACATTATACCCATCATTCGTTTTGAATGCCATCGCCTACACCTTAGACAAAGACCCTCGTGACATTGACCGCAACACAGCTCGGGTTTTCGGGCTTGCCTGAACCCAAGTTCCAGGCAAGGTTCTTGTAGTTGTAGCTGCCGTAGAAAGTCTCGCATGCGTACCAGCGGTAGAATTGCTCGTAGTTGCCCGTGCCATTGGTGCCGCGAACGTAGGCTTGGATCGTCAAATCGTCTTGGGAATCGAACGTGACCAGTGTGGGGTTGTCGCTACCCGGGCTGATGATGGGGACGGCCAGGGAAGAGACGGGGTCGTATTGAAACGCCGCCGAAGACGGAACATCCAAGGCGTTAGTCGGGAGTATCCACGTCAGGATTCCAGGAACGCCAAGTGATTCATCTGGTGCAGAAGAGTAGATGGAGGTGTTGAAGTAGAACTCTGCACCAGGGATAGGGGTAGGGCTGCTGCCAAAGTTGCCGTTGCTAAGGCACAGTGACTCCAGGGCTGCACCGACGTGGCAGGCACTCAGTGTGTCGTTGACCTTTCCATCTTCGGATTGCACAACAAGGTGAAAAGGCTTGGAGGTGATGTTGTAGAACGGTTCCGAGGCTTGTGAACAGTCTTGTGCGCTGGCAATAGCAGCCACAGCGAGAGATAAGAGGATTGAAGGAGCCTTCATGTTGTTGTCAACAGAGTAAGGTGGTAGTTTGTATCGGTTAATGTCGGGATTGATTGTATGAGCTTTGCTTTGAGTAGACTGGGGATGTAGGTGATGTTGATGATGTTGGTGAGGCTGCAATGTTCCGGGCAGGAGAACGAACTTTATATCGACGGCGGTCGTCCTTTGTGAGTTCTAATTAAGGACGGTCTCAACGTCACTTTCTAGATTAGGTTCCACGGTGCATAACGGCCATATGTGTGGCGGAAATAGCAGTCAGCAAGACTGCCTTTAACGTTCGGTTAGCCGGTGATGCCGGTGGTGCCACACCCACATTACCCCTCCAGGCCGTTGTATCTGGGCATCGGTTGTTCCAATACAACTAGGGCACGTTGCAACCAGATCAGGACAATCATAAATGATGCCGCCGCGTTAGCGAGTGAGGCCCCCCAGCCGCGGTAAGCTCTGCAGAGTGCGATGGTGCAGCCTCGTTCGTGTCTGCAGCATGGGATCTGCTGCCACTACAAAATCAATAGTTCAAAACCAGCCCTGCATGGAGAAAATAAGCAATTACGCCGAGAGACTGTTGGTCGACTTGCGACGGGTGGGATATAGGTGGTGGTGGAGGTACTGTGTTTGGTGATGATTCAGCGGGTACGAGATGAATGTAACGATTGCGTGCAGTGTGCTGATGCTTCAATACTCTCATGCAATACATTCCTGATGATTGCAACGCTTGTATCCGAGGATTTGGAGCGTACAAGGGAGCACCAGGACACCTCGCAACCATGCCAGATGGTGAATGACGCAACAAGATTGGTATACTAGGCTGATCCGACGCAATCAACAGGCCGATGCGCTAACCCAGACTTCGGCTCGTCACGCTCGGTGCGCGTCTCGTGACCTGCCCGCACTAACACCACCATCTAGCATGGTGGAGGCAAGGCTTGACGATCTCCAGCTTTTCTGTTTGGACGATCCATCTATGCCCTGAAACGCCCGGCTGGCCCGACACTGATTTTACAAAGACCGTGCGCTTGTCTAGCAAGAACAAATAAAAGCATTGCAACATTGCTGGACAAAGTAGAAGTACGTTCAAGGTACCAAGATGCATATGCAAGGTACGGGATGATGCAGTAGTCCAACCGACAAATGTCAGCGTACTGTGTAAAAGCGTCACCAATGCATATGTCAACTCCATTTCTTTCCGTCAAATCATCACATGCGCCTTGATTCACTCTTACGGCAAGACGTGACCCTTTGTACAATCAAACTTAAATCCGAGTCGTCCATCACACTAGGTACTGGCGTCTGGCTGCAAGCACCTTACTGTATTTCCACCACAGGCCATTCTCCTGCTGAGCAAATCTGGGCTGTGTCGGATACAAGTATACCCAAGTAAGTCCGCGGAAAGTACCATCAAATCCGACGCTGCTCACAGCCGGGTGCTCAAAAGGGCGTGCTGAGTCTGTGCGAGGCCCCTATGGCTGTAAGCTGTCGCAATTGTCTGTCCCAGCACTATTCCAGGACCACTTGAGAATAGCGCCTACATGCAGTTGTAGGCATTTTCTGCAAATCCAGTGTCTTCTCACACGTACTTTGCTGACTGGCCTCAACTTATACACTTAAGCATAAGTATAGTTAGCGCCACGTCGTAAATATACCTTGGCATGTTAGTGTCGGTATACCAACTACACGGCATGTGTATTGTAAGTACACCGTAAGCTGCTCATAACCAACAAGCCAAGTAGTCGGGCAGTTGTCTTGGCCGGGATTGGCGATGCATCTAGCGCAGTGGGACAGCGTACCCGCGTGTCCCGTATCCGGGCGGGGTCGTGGTGTGGAACCATGTCCAAGAATGCTGAGCCGCTCTGACATGTCCGTGGTTCGTCGTCCAGCCTTGTTGAAGTCGAAAGAAGCGTGTCGGACGAGAATGAAAGGATCTGCTGCTTTGCCGACTACACACCTACATGGAATCATGACCAGCCAGCTCTCTCGGGAATGAAACAAGCACAATGCAGGTCGCTTGTTGTACCAATGACCCGGTGGCTTATGCAGGGATAGCCACTCCCCACAGCACGTGCCGGCCTGCCAAGCCGCCAGCAACATCGTCGTCATACTATGTTGCTAGTCGTCGCCTTCTCGTCGAAGATTCTGGTTTCTCGTCTTGCTACAAAAAAAAATCCACGCCCACGCCATTTCTTACAATCAATCCAGTGCCGCTGCAAATACTCACAATCTGCCGCCTAACTCTGCAGCTGCTAAGCCCCTCAAGATTTGGTGATGACACGCACACGGACCATTTAAGCTTTGCAAACCCTTTCATTGGCTACTGTTTCATCAAGTGCACCTCACCGCCAGACTTAACCAGCCGACGCCCATCTTTTATAAATCCCCCAAAATCTACATTCCGCCTGCTTCAGCACTGCCGTGTCCACTCAAAATTCATTGGCCATGACTGACACACCTCAGACGACTGCGGGCGCCAACCCGCACGAGGCAAAGGTGCTCGAGCAACATCTGGACCCCAGCTACGACTTTTCCGAATTCGATCCCGCAACACCAGCACAGGATGAGGGCCAGGGAAGCTCTTCCAACTCTACAGACCGTCAGATGCCAGAATCCTCGTTGCGCTTGCAAGGTGGTGACATTCACCGTGATCTGTACAAGATTGCGGCGCAGAACAGACGCGAAAAGTTGCATAAACGAGCCGCAACCTTTTCCGAGCCTATCTACTTTGGCGATCAACGCCGCCCCTCCAACTCTACCGTTGATCATGATGAGCTTCCCGTCCGGGACCAGCTCTTGCCAGGCGGACTAAGACGACAGTACCTGCAACGGCAAAGCAAGCGCGTCAGCTACATTTCCGAACCTGTTACGCGAAACTTCATTTCCTTCCTCGCTCTCTATGGCCAATTCGCTGGTGAAGATCTTGAAGAGTCAGACGACGAGTCTGCCCTAACGGACGAGGAGGAGGCCCAAGGCGAACGTAGACCGCTGTTGGGACATCGCCAGAGCTCGAGGAAGCTGAGAGCCCAAGGTGATGCCAACCAAACAAAGACCTTTTTCACCCTCCTCAAGGCCTTCATCGGTACCGGAATCATGTTTCTGCCCAAGGCTTTCAAGAACGGTGGAATGCTCTTTTCAAGCATCACCATGATCATGGTATCTGCCATCACAGCTCTATGTTTTGAACTGCTACTGGCAACGAGGAAGCGTTATGGGGGTGGCGGTTATGGTGACCTGGGTAGCATTGTCGTTGGCCCAAGGTTTCGCGCCCTCATTCTGGTCTCCATCACCCTCTCCCAAATCGGCTTCGTCTGTGCTGGTCTCATCTTTACGGCAGACAATCTGGCGTCCTTTCTCGATGCCGTCACTCGCGACAAAGCACCCTTGTCTACGAACCAACTCATTCTCATCCAGGTTGCTGTTTTGATCCCCATGTCATTTATTCGGAACATATCTAAACTAGGTCCTGCGGCGCTGCTTGCCGATGTTTTCATTCTTATCGGCCTGACCTATATCTACTGGTATGACATCTCATGGATCTCCAAGATGGGCGGCTTCCACCCTTCCATTGAGCTTTTCAACCCACGCGACTTTACCTTGACCATTGGTTCGGCAATCTTCACCTTTGAGGGCATCGGTCTTATCCTTCCCATTCAATCGAGCATGAAGGAGCCCGAGCACTTCAGCAAGTTACTGTACATTGTCATGGTCATCATCACAGTCATCTTCACCTCGGTAGGCGTGCTTTGCTACGGTACCTTTGGTGAACACGTCTCTGTCGAAGTCATCACCAACTTTCCGCAGAGCAGCAAACTTGTCAACGCTGTTCAGTTTCTCTACTCCATGGCCGTTCTCGTTGGCACTCCTGTTCAACTCTTCCCTGCCATGCGTAACATTGAGCTCAAGATTTTCGGTCGCGCATCCGGCAAGCAAAGCACCATGACCAAGTGGAAGAAGAACGCTTTCAGAACCGTACTTGTCATTGTTTGCGGTCTCATTTCTATTCTGGGAGCTAGCGATCTCGACAAGTTTGTTGCCCTCATTGGAAGCTTCGCCTGCGTGCCATTGGTGTACATTTATCCGGCCTATCTACACTACAAGGGTGTGGCAAATCGTCCGTGGGAGAAGTTTGGTGACATTGCCATGATGATTGTTGGGCTTGTTGCCATGGTTTACACTACCAGCATCACGATTGCAAGGTGGTCTGAGACTTGAGGGTAGAAGAAGAAGGGGAAGAAAAAGGCATAGAGGGAAGGGGAAGCTGAAGAGGTATTAAATCACACGATCGATTCTAGACGACGTATCACTGTTGCATAGTATGTTTGTCTCGCGACTGGCGTTTATCGGTTTTGGCTGGGAAAATGGAGGGGAATTGTTGCATGTGGTTTGTGCGATTTTGAGCGTGCATTTACATTTCGTTTTGTCACAAAGTACATACCGTAATGTCATGAAGAGAGAGAGAGAAGAAAAAAACAAAAGAAAGAATGACGGCTTGTAGTCCAGGATCTTATTCAGAAATGCGAAAACGAGACTACGTAAGTGTACAGTCATGAGGATATGCAAGAAGAAGAATGAAAGAAAGAAAGAAAAAAGAAGAATTAACTACGCACTTCCACCCTCCCTCCCAACCAACATCTCCATATGCGTAGTCCTCCACACCCCATCCTCCTCCTCAACACACATGACGCCAAACCCGTGCTTCTCCCAAAAAGCAATGGCGCCCGGCAAAAAAGGATGCGTATGCAAATACAACCTCGCTACCCCATCTTGCACCGCGCGCCGCTTCAATGCACCCACTAGCGCAGATGCAAGTCCGCAGCGCCGGAATGGCGGCAGCACAAAGAGCCGCACTACCTCTACGGTACGGCGGGCGTCGGCGTAAGGCGGGAAATGTGTGAAGCGGTGGTCATACGGGACGAAGCCGATTGTAGCTATGATTTCATCTTCTTCTTCTGTTGCCTCTTGGTCGGTGGATTCCGACTGCTCGGTTGCAAAGAGAAAACAGCCTGATTGGATCCAGCGGGCGACTTCATCGTCGCGCTGGGCGCTGAGCTGCGGGAACATTTTGCGGCGTGCTTCCTTGATGAAGCGCACCACTTGGGGTGTGGTTGCGTGCGTCACGGGGCGGATGTGCCAGCATGGTGTTGGTTTTGGTGCTGGTATTGGTGGTGTGGCTGAAGATTGGGACATGGTGGTCGCTAGTATAGTAGTGTATATGTATGTCAGTCAAGGCATAGTGCAATACTGGCCAACAAGGTGAAAGCGTTTTGACCGACTAGCACGAATACGGTAATGCCAAGTCCGGAGAAAAGTTCCCTGTCCACTCGCTGAAGAGAAGAGGCTTGATGATTTTGGATATTTTTTTTCATATTTTTTTGGTAGTACTTCTTTTGTTTCCATCGTTCTACTTTATACAAAACCTCCTCGATTAGACAAGACTAGATAGCGTATATCAATCATGTACGAAGTCAGGCTGCAAGCGCCTCCCTTAGTACACCATGGATAAACTTGATATTACTTCCAGCACCTGGAATCTCATGTCCCCACTAGTCCGTGATGTTGGAGCCAGCTCATAAATCTATGAGATTGGCCGTAGTCGCACCTCCTTTGGGATCAGGTACCTCATGGTTTTGTTCACCACCGGAATTGACATTCGGTGTGACCCAATCCTGCACATTCGGATCGATCCCATGGTGTGATGAAGGCATTTTGCAATATGGAACTGTGCCTTTCTTGCACTCTTTGTAGTGACACATGTGACCTCTCATGCAGAATGCATCGCGGCATTTTCCGGCATTGCGACACGGAAGTGCTCTCATTAGGTATCTGAGACAGTGACGCTCATTGGCGCTAATTTGGCCATGGTAGTATGGACAAGGGTTGGCGCTGCACCCATGGCCCGAGTAGAACATGGTGCATAGCTTTTTCGTAGCAATGCAAGCTTCATACTCTCTCCACTGCGCCTTAGTGGGTACGTCCATGTGTTTATCAATACGATCGCCGGATGCGTTGATGGGTATGCTTTCAGAAGCGCTGTGTCTAGGAAGAGAGACTGTTGGGGCGGGCGGCATACGTTCCCGGTTGGCTGTGGCTTTAGAGGCTCCTCGTTGAAAGCTTCCAGTGACGAAAGACATCGAGCTGGCATAGTTCTCAGGCTGGCCATTCTGTCGATACATCAGCAGTGTCCTGTATATAGTATGGGGTCCATAAATTATAGTCAAGCTACTCACTTCGAAGCCGTTGCGCGTGTCTTTCAAATCTTTTGAGGCGGCCTCGTTCCCGCTGAAGGACTCAAAGATTTGCGGTAGCATTACACCCCGTAGACCCAGATTAGTGAGACTAGTATCTTCACTGCCTCTCTGGACAAGAGTGATCTTCTTGGCGAACGAAATATGCTTCTTGAGTGTGCGCACATATTGTGCGCTGCCACTTGCGCAAAACAGAATCTGGCTGCAAGCTGGGTCCTTGATGTGCATCTCGAACAATCCTGTACTGTGGTCAGCTGTGGCTGATAGAGAAAAGCAGTATCACTTACCACAAATCTTGCGCTCGACCGCCTCATCGTCAGCTACATCGATGTAGTCGACAGAAACATGATTACGGGAGAAGCCTGCGGCAAACGCCCCAAGGCTGCGTGGGAAGCTGGGTTTTCCGAAGCATCGATTTCGGGTAGCGTATTGATTTGCGGCTTCGACCGACAGCTTCTTCAGGTTGGCGTATACACAAATCTTCATGTGGTGTGTCTTGCTGCTGGATTGTTGCGTCATAAGATACTCGGTAGCTGCTTGTATGAGCACTGCAGCGGCCTTCTCACCACCGTTCTCTGCGCCGTGCAGATAGTTGTCTTTGAGCTACAGGCGAGTCAGTAAGCGGAAATTCGACAGCGCTATTGGCTGTACTTACGTTGTGACTGTGTGCGTCCACCAGCACGAGGTTATATGCGTCTACCATGGACTCACGCGCGTCCGGTATCACCGCAACGTCACCGACGGAACTACTCTTCAATGTGTTATACTTGACCAGCAGTCGGTGGTACTCGAGTTCGATCATGTCTGCCCGGTTTGCTGTAGGAGTAGCCTGGGTGAGGTATCAGTAGCGTCAATAGATTATATAAAGAATTTTAGTCACCGTAGGATCCGTGGAAAGCTGTGCGGCATCGTATTCGCCAAGAAAATCGGGAATATCCCCAGACATTGTGTTGGTTATATAGGGGTAGGGTATAGGAGAGGCCGAGGTAGAGGGGAGTTAGAGGGCCAGCTTGTTTGGCCAATATATATGGCAGGAGCAGCTAAAGGCAACAGTGTTTACATGACTGTACGCAAGTGAATTCAAACGGAGTGCACCTGCCTGATAAAAAAATGAACACAACACGTGGTACACAGTCAACCTTCCTTTCACTATGCTTATCAATAGCCAGGCAAGCTAATTCGTTTCACTGGCAGGGCAAAATGCAACATTGTTATGGTGTATTCAGTAGTTGGCAACTATTGTGGGGGCTGTAGAGAGCAGTATGAGCGATGTTCTTTGAATCGATAGGCAATGTTGATGGACCGTGAAATTGGCACCAGCAAATGGCCCACACCAGGTCCCGTTGCTATCTTGGGAAGCCGAGAGAGAACTCTGCAGCTGTCTTGATTCTCAAAAAGAAGGATACCACAGTAATCTGATTGTACGAAATCAAAGACGAGGACGTAGTCTGGCCCAAGCTTACCAATTACTGCGAATGCGACGGGATATTCTTTTTTAGGTTCAGGGTACAAAACGGCTGTCGAACCCCTTGAACAAGCATGGTCCTGGAAGTTCGCATTGGCTTTCAGTATTGTCGAGAACAGTGTGATTCCTGATGCAGCAAGTGTGCATACTATGATCCGGTACTGTTTATTGATACCGTAATATTGACATTGTATAATCCGCAGCGCTGAGAGTACTTCCCCCGGGAATGGGATCGCAGTAGGCTGATCGATAGGCCGAGGCCAGAAGCCGTGACAAAGATAGCCCGGTGGTCAGTGTTCAATGGCTGCAGCTGCAGGCGATTCCCGACGTGTGGGAGTGTGGAACGGACAGCCAAATCAAAAAAAAAGTCGCTGCATCTCCGCTTTCCGCAAGAGGGATCAGGATGCACGATCGAAGTCATCTTCTCAAAGCCCATCAAGACAACCGTTGTTATGCAGAATCCAAGTCGGCCATGTCACCCCGCGACGTGGCTACACCATGGTCTGAAAAGGGAGAAGGCGGGCTTGGCAGCGCTCGGGCCAGCGCGATGTGCGGCCCACGCCGATTGTTTGGACTCGTCCCGCGTCACAACATTGAAGGCTCAACACACCCACGCCCAGACGACATCCCCCCCTCAGGATAGCTTTTTTAGCCTTTGGCTCAGCTACAATTGATTAGGACCACTTTGTATAGACATGTCTAGCTAGCCTAGCCCGCCCATTACCTTCACCCGGAACGCGACTGCCACCACCGCGACGCGCTTCATTCAACCTTAACACTTACATAAAGACATATTCGCCATGGCTACACGTACCAAAGCACCCACGATCGGGTCCGCCGGATGGATCCTGGAAGAGCGCAATCAGGCAAACACGCTCGTCGCGCAGGAACTCGAGGATTTCGGCTTCTCTGTGCGCAATGAGCTTGAATGGCTTAACGAGCACATGTTTGACATACTTGCCAGCGACAGGCAGTACGTCGCGTCCCCCGTGCGAGCGTGCGCCCCATGCTGACCTATTGCTAGACCTAACCTTGATGTCTTCAAGACACCTGGCAAGCTGCGCGGCAAGACGCCCCGTACAGCGCGCAAGAAGGTGGCTGATCGACAGGCACGTTCCTTCCCTGTGCCTTTTGGTCTCATATACTGACAGCAGACAGCCGCTTGCCAGCATCCAGTCCGCAAATCTACAGCACATCCTGAGCCCGGCAGAGCAGAGCCTGAGAAATGTAAAGGCTAGATTCCAGATTGCCGAGGACGCGGCCAAATCAGTTCGACACTCGCCCGCGGCCCGCACGCCAATCGCACGACAGCTCTTCTCCAAGCCGGAAAGCGCTGGCAAGGAAAACGTAGACAGCAACCACCATGCTGCACTCTTTGAAAAGCAACAAGCACATGCTATCGCAGCACTGCGGAGCCCTATCCAGTCTACCCAAGATACAGTCGAGTCTTCGCAGGCCAGCGACGTCTTTTCACCCATGCAATCACAGGAGACTCAGCCCACACAGCCCACTAATTCCTTCAGGCACTCGATAGAAGCAAAACAAACAAGACGCGACACAGGTGATTCCTTTGTCTCGGCAAATGAAGGCTTCTCTAGCAAGGATGCGTCCAAGGAGGACTCGCATGCAAATGATGTTAGTGTCATGGATGTTGACGGTGAGCACTCGCGCTCTGATGCCCAGGATACTATGCTGCATCACGACATTTCCGATGCAGAGGACGCCGATATGGATGAAATGCACGAATCTCCCGACCCACCACGCGCTGTTTCCGAGCAGTACAGCATCTCTGCTGAAACCCACGATGCGCTTGACACGGCCAACAACCGCGCACTCATGCTAGAACCCAAGTACCTCGCACCAGAGCAATCCACAACGCCTGCCGGCCCTCCACCGGCCCTTCTGGAAGCCACCGTTCACGATGACACTGTCCTTCACCACGACGTTGACGATCAAATGGACGTTGATGATGAGGATGATGTGCGCTCCCCTTCGGATAACTCCAGTCCCGTAAAGCCGCTTGTTAGGAAGAGCAGCCTTACGTTTTCATCTCTTCCTGCACGTGAGCCATTGCTTCCCAAGAAGAGTATGGGCAATCGCGTGTCGCGTACAAGCCATATTGATCAAAACAAAGCTCGCAACAGCCATATGGCAAGATTTACTGGAGGCAAGAGTCTGGGAGGATCACAAATTGCTTACCCTGCTGAGATGCATCATGATCACGAGGACGATGACATGGACGTTGACGCGGAGCGCCCAGAAGTTCCCAAAGAAGAATCCGAGTCTACCAAGGCTCACAACAAGACTTCCACTCAGCGTTTGTTCGAGCGCATCAACATGCTCAAGCAACAGAATGAAGCCCCTTCGCGGATCAGCCAGAACATTGCTTCACAGCCTTCACAGTCACAGGGATTCCCGACGCAACCAAACGAGGAGGCTGCATCCACACAACCTTCCCAACTATCATACCCAACCCTCCCACCACCAGAACCCACACAGGAAGAAGAAGACGATGACGATGATTGGATATCACCAGTTCGCACGACGGCACCTGCGCCTAAATCAGTTAGACCTGCCTTTGGCAAAAATCACACGGTCGAGGCCCGCCCGTCTCCCCTCCGGCCTGTACCTGCAAGCCTTATCTCGGCTTCAAATCCAGATCTCACTGCGGATGCTGAATCAACCACCCCTATTGGCTCTCCCACTAACAGGCGATACATGGACGCACCTCTGAGCGCCTCAAAGTCGAAGCTATACTCGGCGTTCCGGGCAGCAAAGGATAAGCTAATTGGATCAACTGCTACAAGCGCTCAAGCGAAGATGGATACGCTCAAGGAGAGCCCGGCAAGACCCAAGTTGCCCTCGCATGATTCATCAGACGATGCATTCAGTAGTCCCAGGCGTGCCGAGAGGCCAATTTCCATTTTCGATCACATGCGATCGCCCTCCAAGGACTCTGACAACTCTAGCAAAAGTGGCAGCAGTCCCTCCAAGGGTGATGGCCGACGCACTCGCAGCTCCACTGAACGGGAGAAGCAGAAGGAGAAGGAGACGAGAGAGAAGGAGGTTCGAGAGGCCAAGCAGCAGCGCACAGAGGATAAGCTCAAGCAGATGCGTGAGAAGGAACAGAGCAAGGCAGCCGCACATGCTCAGAAAGCCCGGGCTATGGGTGCGAAGACGCCAACCGCCATGTCGTCTCAATCAAGTCTCAGGCTGCCAACAGCCACGGCTAACATCAAGACTCCATCACAGGCGACTCAATCTGCCCAACCAGCCACACAACAACCGATTCTTCGTCCTGGTATCCCCCGATCCAACACGGCAACTTCGAGAGAAGACGTCGACTCGGCAGAAGATATGCCACCGCCACCGCCACCAAAGAGCTTGCTACCGACTACCAAGCCGGCCAAGGCGCCTCTCCGAGAACCCAGGAAACTGGCGAAACCGACAAGCAAGGACGCTATTCCCAAGGCAAAGGCGCCACAGAAGATCATGGTCAACCTCAAGAGTAGTCACTACGGCCAAGCACCTCCACCGGCTCCCCGTCCAGCTACGGCAGCTGCCAGGCCTATATCTGCAGCACCTCAAACTGCTGGTAAGTCCACCGCTACAGGGAGGCAAACACCAGCCGGAACAACACGACCAGCTTCAGCTCTATCTACCAAGTCTGGACCTTCGTCAAAAACAGTACAGCCTCTCGCTAAAGCGCCAGCTCCTCGAGCAGCCCGACCTCAACCGCAGACTGTTGAGAAGCCCAAGGCTCCAGCATCTCAACCTCCACGGTCTGACCTTGGTGCTGCACGACCTGTATCACGGATGCAGACGGTGCAGGATGCCAATCGCATCAACATCCCCCCGGTCAACCCAGCTAAGCCGCCCCCTAAGCGACAGTTCCCTGGTGAGGGCGATGAAACTCTCCACCGTCCGGCCAAACGTCCTTCGCAACAAGCAAAGAACCTGAACCCGATTACACCAGCTCACGCACAGTTTGCCAAGGGCAAGATTCCTTTTGCAGAGCCTGCACACCAATCACAGTCTCAGGCACCACAAATACAATATCCCAACGGGGAAGACATCAAGCTTCCTGAGATCATGACGGACTCTGAAGACGAAGACTCTGACAACGAATTCGAGCCACCAAGCTGGGTCAACACGCCTAATCTACGTGAGATGCTCAGCAACCAGCAGCTCATGGACCCCGAGCACATTTTTGGACCGATTGCGCCGTTGGAGATGGAGAAGGTATTCCCCAACAAGGAGCGACACAAGCGGTTCCGCGAGCGGACGAGCAGTGCGTACTGGGCCAATGACGAGGTGACTGCCGAGGAGAAGCGCAAGGAACGCGAGGCGAGAGAGCGGCTTGTGCGGGATGGTGGATGGACGTATAACCCATCGCCGCTTCCCAAGCAAGCTGGATCTTCTCGTTGATGTGGAGGCTATTTTACGACTGAAGACCAAAAGGTGGCTGAGAGAAAAGGATGCATGATGAATGGTTGTCTAGCTCTTTCTTCTCTGCCTTTGACTATTCTTGAGCCCGATTGTTGCATTCTGTCTTGTGTTTTTTTATTATATCAGCATGCCCGCCCCCCTTGCCCTTTTTTTTTATTTGAAGCTTTTATTCGGGGAGGGGGGGGGAGTGAAAGCATTGCATGTTTGTTTTTGCATATGGCCATGAAACGCGGGGGTGGGGGGGGGGGGCAAAGGGTTCCGTTATGCATGAAGAAGTATCCTACTCGCGGCGTTTTTTTGGGGGTTTTTCTGGGAAAGGTTTCCTCTGGCTTCACTTTTACTTCTTCTTCTTCTTTTCTGAAGGAACGAGTGCGACTTATTACTTGTTCCTATTTACACCTTTTTTTCTTTTTTGACCCCGTTCTTATTCGAGTAGTATATCATGGAATGAACGAACATGCTTCTTCTTCTTCTTCTTCTTCTCCTTCTTTTTTTTGCCGTTTATTCATCTTGGCTCTCGTTCTTTTTTTCTTCTTCTTGTTCCTTTTTTTTTTAAAAAAAAGCAGTGGATGTAGATATCTTGCATGATGGTGAGAGTGAATATTGGGTTTGTTTGGTGTTTGGTGGAGTGCATAGGGGATATCATTGGATAGTATGGAACGTGCATGGGATATGTATGCGATCTCGAAGATTTTTTTTTTAGCAAAGCAATGCATTCATCGACATGTGTGTGTGTGTAATTGTGAGAATGAGTAAAGTGGAAATTACTTGGTTTTCAACCTGGGTTGGCGATCATGGTGGTTTTGATGATTTTCGACAAGTGTAAGATGCAAGTAATTCCTTTTTCTTCCATACCCATGCATCGGATTTTTTCTTTGGGATATCACAAGATTTGAGGTAATGATTAAATCACACGTGGGAAAGTGTTTTATATATCAACAGTTTAAAATGGGTTTGCAGACATTGAAAACAACAATTTGAAACGAAGAATAGTGATAAGTATCAGTGAAACTATATATTAGCTATGGAAAGTCATGTGTAACTACGGTCGCTTAGAAAAATGATAATATTGTCAAACACGCCCGCTGGTAAGTAAAAAGTCATGTGTATACTGGTATCCATAAAACCCCCATTTAATTCATAAAACCCATCCCCTAACCAACATCAGCATCCAGTGCGATGTTGTATCCGTCATCGTATCATATCATACAAGAGTCAGAGTGCGACTCAGCGACTGTGGTTGAAGTTCAGACGCTGATGGTGTCTGATGGCGTGTTCCAAGAGGCGTCCGAATACATTCTGCAGGCATTCTAGACCTGGCTCATGGCGGGACCACGGCGGGTGCTACGGAGGTTGGCACCGCTGCCACGGCCGTTCATGAGGTTGAAGGCGAGGGTGGCGACAAAGGCGGCCCATCCGAACCAGAGGAAGGCGGTGGTGGCCTGGGCTTGACGGCAGTTTTGCTCAGTGTTTGGCGAGCTGTTGAGGACGCTGTTGGAGTGTGTGTATGCCTGAGCAGGGTTAGACTGAGCTCTCGAGTGAAATGGGCACAAAGGATACTTACGGAGTTGGAGCAGCTGTGGGCACCAATGTACGAGGGCAGTGCGACGGCGGCGCAGAAGCCAAAGATGACACTGAGGGCATCGAGAGCGATATCCACAACGGGAATACTGAACCTTTCGATGAAGGACGTGGGCAGGAAGTAGAGGAGGGTGAGCAGCCACCAGACGCCGACGAAGAGGGAGTAGTTGATGATTGAGTGGGTTCCGGCCGTGGCACGTGCAATGTTGTTACCCATCAATGCAGTGATGATGACGGCGCAGATCAACTACACGGTGTTAATAAGGGGGGGTTTTTTTGGTAGCAACAATGCGTGTACATACCTGCCAGGCGCGGAGGCCCATGGACAATGCCCTTGACACCATTTTTGCTGGTATATGTGTATGTGTAGGTAAGTGTTGGTAAAAAAAAGGGCAGATGTGGGGGAGATGCAGGACGCAGCTGGGGTGCAGAGAGTAGGGCGAGCGAGGATTGGGTTGAGAGAAGTGGTTTATTTTTCTCGGTGGACGGTGGTGGGCTGAGGAAATATGTATCGCAGTCAGCGGGAGGCGGCCCTGCAGCGTCATGGCAGACCCCTACGTCACCTCAGGGTCCTTCCGACGCAGCCTTTTCCGGAAACATCGGTACTTACACAGTTGGCGCTCACTAAAGCCGTCGATCACAAAACGATGCTGCTGCAGGGCTGCACCAGAGGGTCTGGGTGTGGATGCTGTCGAACAAAGCGAGAAGTGGATTCCCAGAATGCCAGAGGGCCAGAGGGCGGAACTGTGGCCTACAAGTATCTTTTATCAGGCGTTGGGCGGGCAATGTCAGCGTTGCTGCGCAACAGAAGTGGTGAGGATGCACGTGTGGCCAGGGATGCTCGACTTGGCCCATCAGCCACTGCATGACTGCACCGCCGCCCGACCTGTTCCTCCGAGGGAGAGCTACTGCACTCTCCGACGTAAACTTCTTCATCTATGACATGTGCTTGTGTCCAGACCCCCGGCCGCCCCAATCCCATCTCTCTTGCTGTCATAGTTCCTGTCCAGTGTTCCCCGGATCGACATGATCGTCATCCTTACGCACAGATGCGCTGTCTCTGCATCTTGCCCATCAAAAACCGCTTTGAAATGCCCATTGCCGACTGGACCTGTGTATATGATAAAAAACAAAACAAAACAAAAAGAGACGCATGCCTGGCCGGTTACACTTTCGCTGACTGCCGGTATTTCCGCTGTCGACATGTCAGACCCGGGCGCATTGTTTCATGGCCCCGCCCTATCAGCCCGGCCAGGCCTATCACAGAGCCTGGCGCTTGTTGTCATGACCTCCACCATTCGCATTGTCTAAACATACCCAATGATTCTCTCGTCCTATAGCAGATCCTCAAACACCACCCACAATTCAACCCTCAACAAGAAAAATCTGTCTCATTTACCAAGCTATGTACAGCCCGTATCTGTATTGCAAAGACAAGAGTCTAGGTCTAGGCGACTTTTAAAGGCTGCTTGTCCACACACCCGTCGCCGCTCTGGAGCCCGAGGGTGGCGTGAACTGTTCATCTTCGACATGTCTGGACAGACTGCGATAAAGCAGTCCTGTCCGCACTCCCTTGTGCCACTAAACAGGCTTCAAGAGAGTGCAATCCTGTCGGGCTATATTTCCACTACCGTTGGAAGTGCGTCATGACTGACTTGTTTGTCCATGAGCCCTTGTCTGGCCCCCAATCATGACCAAAATAACCTTGCGTCGTTTCCTTGACCAAGATACACCATCTTGTTGCCTTACCTTTTATTGTCCGGCTCGAGTCTTGTATTGCCTGATGCTCCATCCTGTTCAAGTCCAGTTGTCGTAGAACCAAAAGGTGATACCATCATCCACCCACCTTTGCCTATGTGACCCGTTGTAAAACGTTGCCAATCCACACTTTGTACATTGTGTGTAAATTTCTTTGTTGCCCACATTTTGGTCTCCGGCTTGACAGTGTGCTACGACCCGGATTTTTGATTCGTCCGTCGCCGGCTTCGAGGATAATTGAATGTGCGGTCCGACATCACCCTGGTGTCTCGAGGCAAGCTTGATATCAGTCTATCATCTGCACATACCGAAAGCTCGGCGACACGTAGGCAAACGCGTGCAAATGCCCTCATAAAATCGTTGCTACCGTCATTAAGCTTGTATACCGCTGAGTCGGGGAGCGACATCATCCCACTCACACGGGCGGGTTGCTATCCGCGTATAGAGGACAGACTCTGCCGGTTGACTCGATCGTCGAGGTGGCCAGGACGGTTGAAATTGTTGATAGTTTTAACCAGGAGCGAACCTAAGAGGCGCTCTCATGCATGCAGTTAGTTGAGGCAAGCTTTCTCTTACTGTATAATCTTGGATGATGGGAAGGCAATGAACAAAGGAGTCAATGCAGTTCAAGTCAAAATAACTGCGCACAGACAATCAAAGGGCCTGAAGCAGCTGAGCAAAGTCGGTGCATGGGCAGTAGAGAATCCAGCAGTTCCAATGCAGACCCGAGAGGAACCTGTGACATGCCAAGACATTCAAAGAGCGTCGGTCTTGCATGTCAAACTCGTAGTGACTGTGTTACCCATATGCACCCCAATGCTCGCAGCAGTACCCGCTTGGTGGCCTCGATGGCTTCGATGATTTTGATAATCTCCCGCTTTACCTGCCTAGCAACTGACCAAAGCGCTTGCCGTGACGAACGGAGAACCCTCAATCACCCACGCTTCCAACCCCTACCCCTTCCAACTCTACATTGTCAGAAAGAGGTAGAGGCCATTACATGCACCCCACACCCATACATCCTCGAGTTCGTGGCAATCACAAAGAGGTTTTGACACCCCGTACGGCGATCCAGTCCCGGTGATGATAGCTCGAGCCCCGACTGCAAACCCACCCCGCCTCCCAAACTTCACGCACAACACAACCACCAGAACCTTTTCCTAAAGGTCAAGGTCCTTCTTATCCTTAGATGAAGCTGCTGATCCTTGCTCTTTCTCTTATCCTCTGAGGTCAATTTTGCTGATCTCGACCATTGCAATCTCCACGGGCAGTTAGCAGACTTCTCAGAGCCACTCATACAGCGTATAGCTACACGACTGAGCAATCCACACGTAAACAGACTCACCTTCAAAAACAAAGATAAGCCCAAGCACCGCTCCGACGTCCTCTCCTGGCACTGCTTACTGCATGGGTGGGGCATCAACCAGCAATCACCGCCTTCCAGATAGCCGTCAGTACGCAAGGATCACACAAACCCGTTTAGTACTGCCAAGGACACCGTCGTGGAAGATACCATCTTGAACACAAGAGACCATTTTGCTTAGGGATAGCGACAACTGAGATCCGGAAATCCTTGACAAGGGATACAAGAGGTAGCATGTGATACCCGCCTACAGCCCCCCTCTGCAACAATGCCATTGTTGAAGGTGCAAAAGGCCACCGTCTTTGTCGTAGTGGATCGACGGTTGTTGGGCCACCATGGCTCGTCGGCAGCCTCGAACCTGGCCCGATGCGGTTGCAGACAAGGTTTGTGTCAAGTCTCAGCCCGCGACAGACTAGCTAACGGTCAACGTGTCCCAAAAGAAAACGGCAGTACAGAATGGTTCGAGGCTTGACAGGGACGGCAATTGGAAGCATTCTTTGCATCAGTCACATGCACTCCACGCGTGGCAAAAGGTACCGAACGCCCAGCGAACGCGTCTCGGGTAGACACATCGAGGTCCATAGCCTTGGAAGCCGAAAAGGCTGGACTGATCAGGATCGGCTATAGGCCAGCAACAGGTATACATGGCCGTCTGACTGTCATCGGGAGGGATGTTACAAATCGGGCCGGAAGCCCTGACCGGCGTATAGAGGAGGGCGCCCACATATCAGAACCAAACCACTTGCTCCCAATGAGTTTGCAGGCTCCTCACGAGACATTCATTACGCGCGGTTACGTAGTTGACGGCATCAGTCACAAGCTTTGGAACAAACTTCTGCGGCACAACCGACGATGATCGAGGCATGTCTTCTGACTCGGCCCAGGAGAGGGGCTCTGGTGGGATCACGGCCATTTGAAGAGCGGGCGCATCGTTGACTGGGGTAGCTCATGGAGCTTGGCTGTTCTTGAAAACGCCAATGCCATGCAGCAAAATGCGGGGTTGGCAGCAGCCAATATGCAACGCCGACAAAAGGGAACCCGTCCGACAGGCGTCGTACTATTATTGCGTGTGCCCGGCAACAGCCAGCACCGCGGGCATTGGAGCACCCTGTCGGTTTTGCAGACTGTCGAGCAGCGTTGGCAGCATCGTTCGCGACTAGTTCCAGGAACGCTCGCCGTGCAGCCGTCGACTGTGATACGTACATCAAACACGAGGGCGAATAGGAGGGCGTCGAGGAGCTGCACAGAAGCGCCCACAGGATCATCGCATCGAGCGGGGCATGCCGCGGATGCGTCAAGCAGCTAAAGAGCTTGGTTGTCCAGATTGTCGTCGAAGGCGTAGGGGCGCGTGACTCAGTTGGACTCTAGGGCTGAAAGAGACGGTAGTGCTACCCAAGGTCTCGCCATCGGCGATAGTGTCGTGGGTGAGTAATGGCGCTTGCAGCGAAGCAGAATGGCGTGCGACAGGCATGGAGCCTCTGCGAGAGGAAATGGGATCAGGATGGATGTGTTCCGACGGGCCCGACCGAGTCCAGACGGATCAAATGAGGGGCTCGTCGACGTGACCCCTGGAGGCGCATAGTGGATCAGCAGCTCTAGGGCGACGATGGAGGAGGCTCGCTGGGCTTGACGCGAGGCGATGCAGGCGTCTTGTCGAAGGGTTGATGCTGAACAAGAGGGGTTGACAGGACAGATGATTTGATCCATCAGGCCCTGTCCGGCGGGCGTCGCTACCCCCCCAACAGCACAACAATTTGCACCCGTTCGCCTGAAGCACGCACGGCTAGGCCCTAGTTGGCCTGGCCGTCTCCGCATTTTCCTGCGCAACGACCCTACAGAAGCCCCTGACCCTTGGCCGGGCGTGTGAGCTGCAGAAGCCTCAAAGGCGTTGCATGTCTGCGTGTCTCTACGCTTCCGCTGATTTCCCCGTAATGACGGTCTTGCTTCCATCTGTTGTCCATCGTGTCCAACTGGCAGCTGTCCTCTCATCCTTCTACTGACCTCGCAGCAAGCCTGTCGCGCCTGTGCTGACCGTGTGTGGCCCCTCCCCCCCCTGATCTGACCAGGCGCGCGCGGAACGGAAGGGTGTGTGTCTTCTCCCCAACGTTTCGAACAATCGCCAAGACGAGACGCTGTTGCCATCACTTCTGGCCTCTTGTCCAAAGCCGTCCGCCTTCTTCCATAACATAACCTCTTTCTCAGTCGTCCGGGACACGGGGCGACATGTGCCTGCTCTAGTAGTTGCACATCCCTCTTACTCTACAGACTGCGGTCCTGGAAATTGCGGGATAGCCTGGGTTTAGCAGCGTGGCGCTTCCCCACCTAAGGACCCGAAGCCCTCTCGCCGATCCTAGGCACGTATGATCCCATGCAACAATTGATGCCATAGTGTATCGTGTTCGTGTTCGACATCTTCAACAAGAAAGACTAGGGATAGACTGGTTCAAGAATTTGGCGCTTGGTTTGCGTACGTTTTGAGGTATGTTGTTACAACTCGCACCCTGGGCCCCGACGGGCTGCCGCAACACGGTCTTGTTGGAAAGCTGACATCTGGTTATAGTTAACTTCCAGATCGGTTTGTTTTATTAGAGTTATTGTGGGATAGAGCTTGCCCGGTATGTCTTCTTTGTGCTGTAGTAGCAGCAGCCGCATCACCCACCATCCTGAGCATGCTGTGGCCCTGTCTAATGGCCTGGCCTGGCCTGGCCAGACCCCGCTGCTGCTCTGCACGCGCTCTGCCGTCTTATATGCGTATGGAATCTCACGTTGCTGATGCCTCCAAACAGGATATACCGCTCTTTCTTCTCATAGATCTGCTTTGGGCATCGAGCTCGGCACCGCGTAATTTTCCTAGACAATCCTGTTAACTAGGTAAGCAAACTCCATCTCGTTTTACTTCCTTCCGTCTTCCTCAATCATTCCTTCAATCATTTCTTCTTTCTCGTCTCGGTGTGCGTTCTTTTTTTTTGTGGTGCCGTTGCGGCTGCGGTGTGGGGAGGGTGGGAGTAAGGCCTTGCGGTGTTGGCGGAGATGGGGCAGCGGATGAGAAGTCAACACGAGCTCTATCAGCCGCTGTGCACATGTTCGCATGCACCACGGGTTCTTTTCTATCTCGAAAGAGATATTGGGATGCTCGCCTGGAAGATGAGAAGGTGTTTGCACCAGTGTCTTGATGACGCTCGAGGTGTCGTGGGCAAGTTTCCTTTCAGGATCGTCACCACGGACAGCAGCACACTCTTGTTGTTAGGAGGCGAATCAATCAGAGCAACGCAGTCATTTGCTCATCTTTTTCTTGTCTCCTATCACTGTTTAAGCTTTTGGGCACCCTGAGCACTACTAAGACAACCATTGATAACAGTAATCTCTAAAGCCATTATTGCAAGAGGCTCCTGCAGCGAGCATCTCCATCGGCCTTTCCCTACAAACGTCTCTGGGCGACGGTCGAGCCACCTGAGCACAATAAAATAGCGCTGGCCCACGGACCCCCCTGCCTTTTCCTCCTTCTTACTCACCTTCTATCCACTTTCCTACCCCACCTCTCTTACCATTGACCTTACCTCTACTACCTTCAACCCATCCTCTTCTTGCTTCTGCGGTGTATCACGCTTGCACCATCATCCCTTTCTACCACGCTTCCGCGCCACTCAGCTCTTGTAGAGCAGCGGCAAGGCAGCATCAAGCTACCCCGCTAGACTCCATTGCAACAGACATAGTTGTTGCCTACCACGCCAGGTAAGTCGGCATCACATCTGTACCCTCGCCCTAGTTCACGAGCTGCTCCTGATACTGCTGCTGGCTGTCATAGTCATCTTCCATTTCTCACGGCGGGTCACACTGACATACACTCATAGACTATCACGAAGCTTTGACAGCTTCTGCTTCAAGAGTTTGCACTTTTGCTAGTGTCAAGAACCCTACTAGCTGCTATACACGTGGCGTGGTCGTCCAACTTGTCCACCGTATACATCTAGAACTTACATTTTTGACATCCACGCTCCAGGTATGTGCCCCATGCCATGTCCTATCCACTCCCAGCTTCATCTATCTCACCTTTTGTTGCTCTAGCATTGCTGCTTTGTCTTTTGGATACTTGTACTGACAGCCAAAGGCACTTGCCTTGACAGACAGCTACGGTCTTCTAGACACTCCCGCTACCCTAGACGGCACATTCTCTTACACATCCTGCCACAAGGCACAGCACTTATACGGTTTACTAAGTGCATTTTCCTTGAAAGAGATTGTGCAACTAGACAGCCACCTAGTCCCCATTCATTCACCCCTTAGATCTCAAGGTACGTCCATGCCAGTCATATAAGCTTTCGACAGTAGCTAATGTATCCAAGACAAAGACGAATCAACATGAGTTCCAACACATACAAAGGCGGCTTGGCCGTTGGTGGTTCCGCCCTCGACAAGTCCAAGTTGCAGCTGCGCCGTCCAACGCCGGACAGTGATGTCTTGGCATCCAGTGATGATGATCGTGAGCACGTGGCTCCTGTCGTTCGTCAGGCCCCTGGCGCGTACCCTGCAGTACGACGCCCCTCTTCTGGTTGGCTCCAAGACATCCAGCCGAACCGCAAATACTCGTTGCCATCAGTGTCATTTGCAGGATCGCTACCGACAACGCCATCGCTCGAGCTGCCGCAGCAGACGCGCCCTAGCACTTCGGCATTCCCTTGGAATACGCCTAGCTTCACCTCGAGTTCAAACAGTCGCCTGAAGGAGGTCGCCCCCTCGCCTACCTCTGCGTACCCGCCTGGCGAGAAGCCTCTTGCTTCTCCCACCACCACGCACGAGGCCGACGACGGCATTGGATTTCTCCTCAACCAACAGGCCCCAAACCCATTCCGTAAGGCGGTCCGATCGCAATCCTATAGCATAGGCCAAGGCGATATCGAGCATCACCCTGTAGGCCGCTTCTCACGCCAGCCCCCCAGTTCAAGCCTCCGTCACCGGCCTTCCAAGCCAAGTCTCCTTGGTGAGTCTGCCGTCGGTCTTTCGCAGCTGCGCGAAGACGACGTTGACGACATCGAGTCATCCAACGGTTCAGAGCACGGTGTGCGTTTGCCTGTCGGATACTGGGAGCGAGAGCAGAAGCAAGCTTTGCTGAAGCAAGCCGCCATGGAGAATGCACGCGCTCGTAACCGAGCCACCTCCACCGGTTCGCCAGTCCTTCAACTGCAGCAGCAGCGCCGTAAGACTACTGCTGGCTTACGTAACAGCGGGTACAACAACGCAGCTGAGTATGCTATCGAGGAGCTAGAAGACGTCGACCCGGCCCTGAATGTCCCTGCTCCCGGACTCACTCGTCGTTTCAGCGAGCATGTCTCAGTCCTCAAGCGAGATCACGAGGTTGAGATTGTTGATAGTCCCCAGAAGCCGCAGTGGGCGACCGGCAACATCTCGCCCGGTGAGGCTGACCCCCTTGGTCGTCGCCACTCGTTTGCGCACTATGGAAGCTACAACTCGACGATGCCACTTTCAACTTTGAGCAACACACAGGAGGAAGAGGAGGAGTATATGTCCCCCCGACAGACTTCTCCCAACGAAGATAACGAACCGTTTGATGCTGCAGCCTACTTCACTGGCTACGGCCCTGCGTCTCGTGCCATCAACTCCTCGGCTATCTCGGCAGCTCATCCGGATCCGATTGTGCCCAACACCGCAATGTCTGCTGGCAATCCGTATGCTGTGCCCAACATCCTTGGACGTTCTAACCGTCGCCTGTACGTTGTCACGTTCAAGTGTTCTCGTGCCGATATCTACTACGTATATGACAACACCGGTCTTGAGGTTCGCCGTGGTGATTTGGTCATTGTCGAGGGCGACCGTGGCTGCGATCTGGGCCAAGTCACTCACGCTGATGTGACTATGGAGGAAGCTAAGAAGCTGAAGGCCGAGGCGAACGACGAGCACTTCCGCTGGCTTGTCATGTTCTCTCAGTATTCTCTAGCCGGCACCCAGAACGATTCTGGAATGCTTGGTGCCCTCGCGCGTGCTAACGGATTTCCGAACCCTATGAGCCGCACTGGACTGGCAGGTCAGGGAGAGCCAGAGGTCATTAAGCCAAAGCTTATTAAGCGTCTGGCTCAACAGCATGAGATCATGGGTTTGCGTGAGAAAGAAGGTGGCGAGGCCAAGGCCAAGCGCCTCGGAGCACAGAAGGCCGCTGACCACAAGTTGCCGATGGAAATCTTGGACGCTGAGTACCAAGCGTAAGTGCTAATATGCTCATGTGGGCTTCACTTACTAACATACCTTAGTGATTACCACAAGCTCACCTACTTCTACTACGCTGAGTCGTACGTCAACTTCAACGAGCTTGTCACAGACTTGTTCAAACAGTACAAGGTCCGCATCTGGATGTCAGCAGTCAACCCAGCATCTGTAGTCAACCCGGCAGGCATGTCTCAGATCCCGCCACCCTCTGCCATTGGCCCTGGAGCGATCATCACTTCTAACACAAATGCCCCGCTTTCTGTTGGTCCTGGATTCGGCTCCAACACCAATCGTCCTGCCCAGCAGTATGGTAAGTCTATCACCTCTTCCGTCAACCTGTCAACTTGCTAATTGTGAGTAGGTCAAGCTCGTAACCATGGCACATATGGTAACTACGATGAGGGCTTCCACGCTTTCTCGCACCAGATCCCTGCATATCCCGCCCAGGCTCAGTACAACATGCAGCCATGGGCTCATGGCCAGCAGATGGCGCCTCACAATCAGCAGATGGCACCTCACGGCCAGCAGATGGCGCCCCACATGTACCGAAACTACTATCCCAACGTGAGTGCGAGTGGCAGCCAGATGACCTATGGAGCCGCTGGCTACTATCCGCCGACAACTTACCCTTCGTCTTACGGTGGAAACTACGTCCCAACTACGACTACGGCCGGATATGCTGCCTCGCGCAACTACACGTCAAATTCCGGACAGTCATTTGTTCCCCACGTGCCTACAACCTATGGTGGCAGTGTTCCTTACACCTCGGGAAGCAGCCAGTCAAACACTGGTGGTTACTATGGTACTTCTGGACCACAAGTCAACGGCACATCTGGCGCTTATGCGGGCAGCGGTGCGCACACGACGACTACTGCAGCTCACCAGAACAACGACTATGACCCTGGTTTGATGAATGCCATGCAGCACATGTCTCTCGGCAACTAGGTCCGCTCGCAGATGTGGCAGCCCCAAGGCCTCTCCAAGGTTCAAGCTAATCTATCAACTCTGATCTTGTAGCTGTCTCTACGATATGCTACATTTCTTCTCCTGATTGATCGAATGTGCGACAAAATCATTTTCGACCACAGTTTGAGGAATTCTTCCAGACTGTGCTTTCTTTCAGCACCATGCTTTAGGGATCATTTAGGCGCATACGGCTTTTTCATGATGGATATTACATCGGTTCATACTGTTCACTGCCCCAGAAATGATGGCAACGGCCGTACCAACTATCAGGAAACGTGGCAATCATGTTTGCGACTTTCCTCTTCTTCTTCTTTTTTTCTTCTTCTCTTCTGCGTACCATTGAAATTTCCTTCCAAAAATCTCCCTTAATGTCCCTTCTTTCCCCCACTGGCGGCTCTTTACAAGTTACATCCTTTACGGAAAACTGGCTAGTCAGATATTACCCCATGCATGTCTTTGTCAACAAATGCCAATAGGGCGAAAATAAAAAAGCTTTCTGCACCAGTTCTATGCCCCCAATTTGTTTTGTGAATGGCTGTGTTCTAGTACCCAGGGTTGTCAAGATGCATGTCTCCCGGTAGACAAACCGTAAGTAGAAGCCTACAAAGTGTGTCGTCAGCAAGGCAATTTGACATACAGCTATTCACTCAGTTCCTGCATTTCATGTGTCGAATACTATGACGTACACTCTTGCGTATTACTAGTAAATTGTGTTGAGTTGCACCTTCCCTTCAGTCTATTGTCTCACCTACTCTCTCCACCCCACTGCGACAGCTGTACACTGACTCACGACCTCAAATATGGCGCACCAACAACATACTCAACCACTTGCTAAAAATGCTGGGGAGGACTGGCAGTCCACAGACCTCGGGAAAGATGAGGAATTCAATAAGACCGGAAGCCAGTTGGTGATCATGCTGTCTTTCTCAACACCCAGCAGCTGACAATGATTAGAGACAGATGCTTGCTATCAGTATTCTCCTCAAAAAGCCACAATGTGACAAAAAGAGTCTTGATCAGCTCCGTGCAACAATAGCGGCCGACCGGAACAAGTACAAGGAAGAAATTGTACGGTTGAGCAGACGGATGTGAGAACCACCCAGGAGACGATATGAAGAAGCTGAACAACCAAAGAGAAAGTCTGATGGTGTCTACAGTGAAATGGGGCAGAGACGCCATGATGGCGAGCTGGCTTCCATGATAATCGAGGGTCTTAAAACCCCAAACCGTCGCACACAACACGATATGCCGACCTTTGCGGGTACGAACATCGCAAGCAACGCTGTGTACACATGCATTACCGATGTGCTCAGTGCCTCTCAGAGTTTGGTCAACGAATACAAGCGACTAGATGACATGATCTCGAAGCTGCGAGAAGACCAAGCGCATCCTATTGCAGATACATGGAAACGGGATATCGAAGAAAGAGAAAACCAGCTCAAACTGGGAGCAAGAGTGGCAATGAAGAATGTGAGGAAGGTTTTAGGAGCTAAGGTAGCAATCGGTGATGCGAAGGGACTGACTGATGAAGATGGAGACGTGGACATGAACGTAGGTGGGAAGGTGCAGCTGACTGGTGAGTTGCTGGAGAGTCTGAGGTATGCGGAAAGGGGAGCCAAGCGCATGACCAAAGGGCTTCCGATGAACCAAGGCCGCTGAGTGCACTTGACACATGACAGCAAGGTCACGCAAGAGGCTACTGCTAAGTCTTGAGAGTTCTCCGGCTGCAAAACTTGATATTAAACCAAGAATAAGGTTACAATGTATATCTTGTACTGTGTATAGCTTGTTGCGAACCCAGTTCGCTCCACAATAAAATGTAGCCATGATTTTCTCGGCATTCTGCCATTCTGTCCCAGCAATAGTTCACCACCGCCAGACGCGATAGGACTAGCGGGTGCGCACTGACCACCCCACACATTACGCGAAATATCGGTGTTCCGTCTTTTACAGCACCTCCAGCACGACAGCGTCGACAATCTACTAACCAACAGTCAAGGTACGTCGGCATGCTATTGTTGATTTTTTTGCAGGCTGTATACTGACATTGTGACAGATGGGTGCCCTCAAGTGTAAGCACACGCCGAACCTGGCAATTTCACGCTCGCAGCTAATGCGCAGTAGATGTCGAAGAACTTCAGAAGAAGAAGCAGTCGGATATGATGCGCTTCTTGATGCGCGTCCGCGTACGTACAGACGATTGAGCTTGGAAAATGAACTCTGCTAACATTTGACAGTGCTGGGAGGTATGAACACAATTCCCCGAGACTGCCCGTCTCAAATTGGTGTACTCGTTGAACTTTGCTGAGAGTGCATCGATAGCTTCGCCAACTTAAGGTCATCCACCGCGCCAGCCGCCCCTCGCGTCCCGACAAGGCCCGCCGCCTCGGATACAAGGCCAAGCAAGGCTACGTTATCTACCGCATCCGCGTCCGCCGTGGAGGTCGCAAGAGGCCCGCTCCCAAGTACGTGCAATTGGCAGCGATGTGTTGGACAAAAGTGCATAGCTAACATTTTCTTCTAGGGGTGCCACCTACGGTATGCTTCGAGCGTCAGATTTTTCAGGCAGAGCAACAGACTAATAAACCAACAGGCAAGCCCACCAACCAGGGTATCAACCAGCTCAAGTACCAGCGCTCTCTCAAGTCGACTGCTGAGGAGCGTGTCGGCCGCCGCTGCGCTAACCTCCGCGTCCTCAACTCCTACTGGATCAACCAGGACTCGACCTACAAGTACTACGAGGTCATCTGCGTCGACCCCCAGCACAAGGCCATCCGCCGCGACCCTCGCATCAACTGGATCGTCAAGCCCGTCCACAAGCACCGCGAGAGCCGTGGACTCACTGCCACTGGCAAGAAGAGCCGTGGTCTTGGCCGTGGACACAAGTTCAACCACACCACTGCCGGCAGGAGGAAGACCTGGAAGAGGAACAACACCCTCTCTCTCTGGCGCTACCGCTAAATGTGCTGAGCGCGTGGTGTGCTTGGTGGGACGTCTGGTCGATTGTTTCAAGCGTATGGGCTGGCGTGAATGGAATAGGGTGTCCTGGGCTATGTAGCTTCCGAACAGCATCAAGGCTGGCAGGACTTTCAAAAATTAAATACCATGGATTCATGAAGTTTACGACGGACAAACGTAGAGCCAGATACCATGATTGTGAAGTCACGTGCGTGCTGTAGTCGTCGTAAAGAGAGATGGATTGCGTCTGACGAAATTTGCTTGACAGATGCAGGTGGTTCTTGGCTGGGCAAGGTCAGAGTGACATGCATGGCTTCTTCTTCTTGGATAGCTGACGGGCCGATGAGCTAGCTGCAGCAACGACGTCAGACGTGTTGCGATGAGAGCAGAAACGGGGAATGCGGCATGTGTGTTTGTTGCGATTTTGCTTCTGTGGTTTGTATAGTACATCGTTGATGCCGTTGTTTTTGGGGGCGCTTTCAGGATTGCACCGGGGATGCCTGTAGGCTGAAGCAAGCGTTGCCGTGGGCCCCTCGCAGCCAAAACATCTCAGCCCAACCCGCAACGCCTGCAGTACCTCGACGCCAACGCAACAAGCGGCCCAGGCTCCAATCGACGCAGATAACATTTGCGCCTGCTCTGCACCACTGACGACACGTACGGCTGACGAGGTGATTGTGCTAACATTCCTGCTGCGGCAAAGCTTCACCTGGTTATACACAATGTTCCGACGTTCACGCGCGCGGCCAACCAACATCATCTGAGCAGCACTGCCCGGCACCTATACGAGGCTGTGAAGCGCAAAGTCTCTGCAGACTGCCCAGTAACCGCACCGGCATACACACACACGCATATCCAGCGTCCTCAAACCCTCTCCCTCTCCTTCGCAAGACAACCGTTGCCGCAGCCATGGTCAAAGCCGATCCCACACGAAACTACTATGCCGACCTGAAGGTCTCTGCTACCGCCACCGAAAACGAGATACGCAAGGCTTTCCGAACGCTTGCGCTGCAGTACCACCCGGACCGTAATCCTGGGCGCGAAGCTGAATTCGTTGTCCGGTTTCAGGAAATCCAGGCTGCACATGAGATACTATGTGATCCCACCCAACGAGCAAAGTACGATGCAGAGAGGAGGAAGTACCGGAATGCCTCTGCCTCCGCAAACACGCCCAACACGCCGAGAGCAAGGCCACCCCCCGCCCAGCGCAACACGTACACGACGACTACCCCAAATGGGTCCTACTATCGCGCCCCTCCCCCGAGACCACAGGCACAGCGTCCCCCACCACCTCAACACCAAAACTCTTACACTACGGGCGCAGACAGGTTTACAAACAAGAACTTCCGTCCGCCTCCAACCGCGCAAAAGCCAGACCCAAGGCCCAGAGATGCAGAAGCCCGGGCAAATGTATTTACAGCATGGCAGAAGATGAAGCAACCGCGGAGCGAGGAGGCTCGACAACAAAGCAATAATGCCCACAGTAGCGCATACCCCAATCCTCCAAACAATCCCAACGGCACTCCCTTTGGCCGAAGTCAAAGCACAAGAGCGCCTTCTTCCAAGCAGGGATTCGACCCTTCGGTGCCTGGTGTCGACGAGGGACAGGCGCGATCGGCGTATAGGAACTATGCTCGCCCAGCACCAACGCCGCCTCACTCTACCACACCTCCCAAGGAAAGCCAGGCCGACAACGTCCCGTACTCAGAAGCTAACCGCGTTCGCACCCCGTACTACTCTCACGTCGGGGGAGAGCGAACATCCGTGTTTGAAGGTATAGGTAGATCGGCTAGTGTGCGCAATTCACCGACCTACACCCACAGGGCGAGCTCGTCACAAGATGCAGGCGCATACTCAGATTCTGGTCGCAAGGCACAAGCAAAAACAAAAGCAAAAGCTGCAAACGGAACTGCCAACAAGCCATTTGCACACGGCTACCCCGACTCGAGCGACTCAGACTCCGAACCGGAGGTTTTCACAAAGAACCATAAGCACCACGACGCTCCACCTGTGCCGCAACATTCAAGACCCCCTCCGCCAACTTGGGCTCAGAGTGGCTTCATGACACCTGATTCAAAACGACAGAGTAATGGGGCTACGAGCCATATGCCAAACACTTTTAAGAGTAGGAGTGAAGAGAGCATCAATATGAAATTCTCGCCTTCGGACTGGCATGGCAAGTTTGAAGGCAGTAATAGTTACTTTGCTCCTGACATACCAAAAGGTGCTAGCGGGAAAGGCCGAACCTCTCCCACGCGCGGCAGAGCTTCACAGCGCAACGCGACAGATCGGAATCCATTTGCTGCTCAATCCAACCCATTTGCACCAACCCACCCAATCCCTCCTCCGCCTCCTGGGCCACCACCTGGTCTCAACTTTGCTCAGCCTCCAGTAGCTCCTCACGCTGCAAAATTCAGTCCTCAGGACTGGCAAGAGACATTCAAAGATCCGCATTGGGTGTACAACGACACCAAGGAAACCTCGCCACGTCGGCCTTCAGAAACTACAAAACGGCCAAAGGCGCCGCGAAAGGCGTCTGTGCAGCAAAACGGAGCCTCCAAGGCACAAAGCCAGTCAGATTCATCGCGGCCCAAGTACCAGGCTTTTGCTGAAGAGCCAACGAATGGTGATGCAGACGCAATGGATATTGACTCTGGGCCACCGTCGTCAGATAAGAAGGGCGCAACAACCGGGCCTACGGTGCCAAAGCTGAACACAACTCTGCCAGGTACCACACCGAACGGCTCTAGCACTGCATCACCTTCTACTACCACTGCGAAGCCACCTGCTGAGGGGCTGAATGGTCTCGGTCCAGATTTCATTAAACCGCTCGTCGAGCCCCAGAAGAATGGACTTGGCGGAATGGCATCTGTTGGAGACGCACTGCCCTTTTCTTCTGAGGCATCCAACTCGCATCCCATAAAGGCGAATGCCGCAAAGAGTCTCAAGTACCCTGAAATACCCCAGGCGCCTCCTGTCCCAGCCAAGTTAGATTTGGCCTCGATTGATAACTACTTTGAACGCATGGGCTCTTATGTCAAATCGTACCGGAACTATTGCAAAGTTCTCACTGGGCACTTTGCTGCACGGAGCGTGGAGATGGAGGATCTAGACGATCACTTCATTCGCAACCGTGGGGAGACGACCAAGAAGGTCGGCTTTGTGAGCTACCTGGCTAAGATGGAAGAAGACGAGAGCGTCATGGAGACATGGAAGGTGGCACAGGAACGGCACATTGTTGCGCTGCAACAGTGCGCAGATGTGCGCACAAAGGCCTTGAAGTTGTACCAAACCCTTCAGGCTTAAGATCAGCGCGCCGTCGCTTGCTTTGGGTTTGCAGGTGTGCTGACGTATGTCTAGAAATGGAAGGAATACGCGCCAGAGCAGCGTCCGAGGTGTAAAAGAAAGGTTGGAAATGTTGATTGTTGATGAGACGCATATCGCTGCGCGAATGGACAGGCAGCGTTGGATATCTGGTTCGATGTTGGGAATGAGGATGCGCAGTCCTACCAGACTTGACAGAGGCATGGAGGGTTTGAATAGCAAGGGCGTCTCAAAATACCAGCCGCTTTTGTTGAGAAAGAAGAAGTATTATGGTCTTGGGTAGCGATGGCGTTTTCTCTTGTCTCGAGGCTCGGCATTATGAATACCCCCCTGGTTGAAGCTGGGAATGATTGAAATGATGGTTGAATGGCACGCAT